CTGTCTATAGTGCTGTCTCACTCCGATACATGAGAACACAAAAATGCATGAAAAAAAATGAAAAGTCTGTTTCCATTTTTGGGCACGTTTTTTCTATGCTCTATGAGAAATTTATTCACAATGGAACACTGAAAATTGCCTGAGAACAAATGGAGTAAATCCTTCTGCGTTGATTAGACTAATTTAATTTCAAAGCCGGAAATTTATAATCAAATTATCAATCATCAAGTGATATTCTTACGAATTGGAACTATTTCAACACTTAATCCGTTCTTAAGTATCATATTTCAGTTTAAATTAAACGATATTTCACACTTTTAACATCTCACTTGAAAATAACGGTTTTATGACCGACATTTTATCAGTAAAACCTAATTACAGTGATAACATTGGTGAAGATAATTTTCGTTTAGTCCAACAATAAGTGATAAAAAAAGAGAAAAAATAATTTTCATTTCCTTTTAGTGAGATGAAAAAGTAAAGTTCTAATGAAGTACTATTCGTTATTCTATCTTTTTAATGTTAAATATGAATATTCAATGCGACAATTATTACGAAGTTGATTAACACGGAAACAGGCGCAAATGAAGGTTTCAGTCGACATTCTCTGAGTAGAGTGTGCTCAACAGACTTGGCACGAGCTATCTTTGTCTATTTTATACAAATCTATATACATGTTACCTTCTTTCTTTCTTTATCCTGTTTCCCCTGCTCCCTCGCAGCTTCTTTCATTCTCTCACTTCTGTTACTGTCATCTTATAAGTTTCTCTTACGCACCAGTTTGTTCACTATTTCACTTCCAACCGAAATTCGCACAAGAAATGCTAAGAAACTCGGTATGAATTCAAACATTTTCTTTATCAACTAATCCAACTCGTAATCAGAATAATGCTTGCACTATTTTAGAGAACAAGTAGGTTTTATAAACTCTTCCTTTTTCTTCTGCTGCTGTTATATGTATTAAAGTTTTAATTCTTCAATTAGCCAACTTTTTTGGGATTATTAATTCTTTCTTCTTTTTTTTTTAGTTACATTTTTACTTTAAAATGTTCTTTTGACTTATTTAAATATTCAACTAGATACAATATAATATGAATAATAAAATAAACTGTAAAAAAATATTCTAATGAATTTTTGCAGCTTTTTGCAATTTTGATTATTAATTTAAAACATCCCCAACATGTGACATTTGTTAAAAAAATATTTTTTATTAAAATTGAATTGAATAAATTATCAGTTACTTTAATCGTTAAACAAAGTCTATAGAATTATTTAGTTATGATAAACAATTGAGAATACTTACTATGCCTCCGGTTCTAGAGTTTACTCCAAATTTGTTCATTCTCGTTAAACGAAATTTTTTTTAGTAAAATTTGTTTATTATCGATAGAGTAAAAGTATTGTTTATTTTTTGTATATCCAGTCGCTAAATAAAGTCGATAACAATATTTTATTGTTATAAATAATTGAAAATGCTCATTAATTCTCATACTCTAAATGTCATAGTGGATATTGCTTATTATGGACTAAATAAGATTACTTATAATTTTTTTATTACTCCAACTGCCAAATATTGTTGATAACAATTAATTTCATAAGCAGAATGTTTCTATAATTAATAATAGATTTTTCATTTTGTTAATTAATTAAAAAAAATTTCTAATGACAACACTGCAAATCTCTAAATGTGTTAGAAATAACTACAATGTTTATTGAATGGGTAACATCATTTTTAATACACTTAGATGTGTAGTAACAAAACTTGTTTGAAAATCGAGATTTGCAGTGTTGCATCTGTATTGTTGACGCTGCATATACGAAGAGGCATTTGCTTATATTGATCTCTTATTTCTAAATCTGCTGAGTGTGCGGACAACAAAAAATGGTTATCTAATTTTAATAGATGAAAAATTCTATATTCAACACGTTCCAGTATTCTCGTGTACTTTAATTCACGTTATCCATCAGAGCTTTCATATTCTATTCACTTTGATGTTGATGAATTTTTTCGACAAAAGTAATAATGATAAAAATGTTTCTTCAACTCATTATCACATCATTAAAAAGCTCATATGAGGATCCAGGAAATTGAGTACAATCTTTGTTACTCCATTTTTGAGATAAATATTTGATATTCATTTAACGTTTAAATTTAATGTAAAACATTTATACTTTATACTTATATTTATGACTAATTCTCGTATAGATTTAATCTTATTACATACTTACTTACATACTAAAAAGTTCGCATCTAAACTTAAGATGTACTTTAGATTATCTAATGAACATTTCTATTTAAATACCATCCACGTACGTACGACATACATTAACATTTTCCAGTTATTATGAATGCCTCTTTACCTTTCAGGTTTAATTAACAAATGCATTTTATTATATTTTTATCCTTCAAGTACTTTTACTTATTACTTCACTGACATAATATTAATACTCATTTTTATTATTTACAATCTTTTAAAAAAAACAATACACATAAACATAAATTTTTATTCGTCATTATCGTTATTATTAAATAATATTTGAATTTCTTGTGGATTTGGAGTTTTTAATTGGGTTAATTGTGTGATACAAAAAATATTTAGAACATCATTAAAATCATTTTGATAAAAAAACAGAAATTAATTTTTATAAAAGTACTACATTGTTTTTATTTTTATCAATAATTGAATTTCTTGTAAACAAAATATTTTCAAAAGTCTTTAATCTAGCAAGGAAATTGTTTTTCGAAAAATCTATTGGAAGAGAAGAATAAAGATGATATTGACTGTAAAGAAAGTTAAATAACAAGCTAAAAAAAGATGTAAAAATTTTTTTCATACAATTTATATTAATATTTATTCAGAAGTGAACATATGGAGTAAACAACCGCACTAAATATTAAATCGTAGCATAGATGAAAATTTTCGTTGATTCATGTGAATACAAAACGTATGATGAAAATAGAAACAAATGTCTAAAAAAAAAAAACGATTTGTAACGTTCTGACGGACAGGCGGAAAAGCAGTACGATTGTGCACGGAAAACTGCCGGTTTTGATAATACTCTGTTGTTTCTTTTTGTTTGTTTCGTGTCATCCGTTTTCACTTCGGGTCACAGCACCGCCGGGGATCATCTCTGTTTTGGTGCGACTTATCTTCCACATTTAAAATGTTCTCGAGCTTCAACTCTGACTATCAACATTTCCCTCTTGATATTTTTCCCTAAAATAGCCCGCATATAACATTCATTGCTTTGCTGCTGATGAGCACAAAAATTCTTCTACTTTTATTGTTTTTATCCTCAGGAAAACAAAACAAATGTTTTTTTATAGTCACACTTTTCGCAATAGTTGACTTACTTAAGATACACTGACAAACAATAACATCAAGTGTTTTTCCCAGAATGCTTTCATTCACTGAATTCTCATTAAATTTTCATTTTTTTTAATTTCGTATTCCATTTTAGCAATGTTCTCTGCACCAGATAAATCAATTACTGATTACAAAAGAAAAATAAATCAAGATATATTTTAGATAATTTTTAAAAAATCACACCTTCGACTCAGTTACAATTTAAATAACTCATTAGCTATCATCCAGGACATCCTGATACAAACCAAATATTGAAGAAGCATGGAATTTCAAATATGGATTCAGCTTAAAACCAATTTATTTGGATCTCTGAGCTAGATCTCAATTTAAAATGATTTCTGTTCAAACTACTACCCAATTTAATTTATTAGATAATACTTTTGGATATTAATTTGTCTATTTTCTGAATAAATTTCAAACTTACATACCAGTCAACATCATATAATTTTTAATTTCAAAAAAATATATTCTCCAACATTACTGCAAACATAAAAATTTTCTATCTCATTTAAAGAACAAACAGAGAACCTTTTCTCTATTTTCTTTTTCATGATTCTTGATGAAATAGTTGTAGAGGGATATGAGAATCAAGAGAAGTTGTCTATTAAAATATCAGCAATTCAAAAGTAATTATTCAAATAAAAATAATGAAGCTATTTCTTAAAATTACTCTCACCTCAGTTTCAAGGAAGTAAGTTTCAATTCATAAGAAGCTTGAGATTAGTCAAAGGCTAAATTATACTGCGACAATGTTTCAATTCCAGTTCGTTGACTTTAGCTTTATATTTGTACACCTCTTAGTTAGTAATCGTTGAACAATAGCCATGTCTTGTAATATATTTTTTATTTAAGGAGAGCTTCTTTTTTTAATTCCTCAACAATTTCTTAGATAATACAGAAAAGGGCACTAGACAAGAAAAAAATTCATATTATAATCTTTCTATGGTGGTACAGTTTTTTTAATTAGACAGGAATATAAGAATAGAGAAGCATGGGGTCTGATGATTTTCTGTTGAGATTCATTTAGCAAAAAGAAAATCATTTATTTTTTCTAGTTACCTTTAATAATTTCACTGATTATTTTCATGAATTATTATTGGTCATAGAATACAAATTTCATTCATTGTAAATTTTTTTGATAAACTATTATTGAATTAACTAGAAATTACTGGCAATTTAACTGTTACATCATCAATGCCACTATTTATACAGTGCCTATAATCTTTATCCAATAACGATTATTTCCAGTGTCAAGGTAGACTTGGTATAAATAACATTACATTCTCTGGGGTATTTTATCCCAATAAATCTTGAAGATGTTACGTACACAGTATAATTATTACCAACATATAATAGAAAATCTTAATAGCTTAAACAATAACTTCACAGATTAATGGTGAGCATTAAAAGAGAAACAATAGCTGAAACTTTGAAAGAAGAAACATTGAATATTACAGGTCATTCTAGATTAAATTATTTTCCATGATGAATAAAATACACAATAAAACCCTTTACCTTTGGCTGATGTAAAGTTAGAAATTGAGAAAAGAATAGAACATGGAACAATAAAGATTATTATTGTACTTTTCAATTCGAAATACGTACATTTACCAAAACTATTTGGAATTTCAGCTCATTGTTACGACTGAAGGAGAGTTGAACTACCGAACAACTTTTTCATGAGACGCATGAGCGTCGTGAGTGCTCATTGAACGTCACAAAAGAGCCTATCAACGACGAAAGTCAAAGGCTACACGAGTGTTGCCAGACAGTTTGTGATAACCTACCACAATGGATTGTTCATTTTTTAAGGTGAGTCGTTGTTATTTTTTTTTAACCATTGGCTTTTATTTTTAAACGACCTTTCATTTATATCTCGTTGTGAATAACTGGTTCTATACATCTTCATATTTTAGTGAAAAAAATTGAAGGTTTTTTTATTATTTATAAATAATAATTATTTTAATAATTTTATTTTTAAGTAACCAAGTGTTTTTGTTTTATATGTAAAAAGTGAAAAGTTTTAAAACTGTTTTCAATGTGAGAGAAGTATTCCTATTGATTTTATTTTATTTAATCGCAGATAAACTTTACAATTACTGCTTTGATGAAGTAAAAACTACTGATTAAAAAAAAAGTCACCAAATTAAAAATTACCAGACTCCAACACGGATCTCAACTTTGTGGTTATCGCAGCTGTAAATTTCATCATGCTTCATCCAAAATCAGAATCTCAATTAAAATTAATTCTTTCTCTCTAATTTCCCTTCAAACTATCCATGTTTCAAGCTGCATAATTAAAACAGGTTGTGTTGCTGATAACCACGTGCTAAGTAATTAATTCATGGCAATCAAACCCATGCAAAATCACTTTGTGATCTAAAAATAAAAACCTATTGATGATTCATTACCTTGCTCATGAAGATTGCCCACCATTCGTTAAATAAACTTTTCAAATTTGTCCATTTCACATATTCACCCTGGTCCTGATAATCAATGCCATCAATGTTTGAGTTTTATTTATTGAGTGTCTTTTTAAATTATAAGACACTTTTACAACTGTTCAAATTCAACCTTGATGCAATAATCAATCAAAAAACGTCCATTTTTATCCTCAAAATATATTCAAATGATTGGAAATCTCTATAATGCATATCAACTAAGTGAATTAGCATCTTTTAGAATTTTGAGCTCAACAATATTTTTCATTCCATTCTTAAATGCATTGAAAAATAACTCATGAAATAATTTAACATTAATTTAACTTTCTTCTAACTTGGATTGTCAAACTCTTGAGCTACATGGTGACATAATTTGAGTAAGGGTGTGGTTGAGAGTTCATGTATTTTGATATAATGCATAAATACTCAAGAGTGAAGACTCACATGAATAAGTTACAGGTTCTTGCATTAATGAGACTGTACATTAATTTGGATATGAGCACATGTATCATATGTAGCCAAGTCTTCTAAGTTCACTGATAACTAGTTTCATTACATAAAAGAATAAAATTTCAAGATTATTATCATGACAGATAAATATTTCAAAGTCACTGTTGTTTAATGGCTTGAATAATAAAGATGATATTTATAAATTATAATTGGCTTCATTATATCAGGCTCTATTATCAAAGAATTTTATAATCTTTTATTAATATTTACTCATCAATAATAAGTATATAAAACTAGTTACATAAGAGTAGACAAAGTTTCATTATTTTTGTTCCCAACATGAAGCTAAAATTTATTTAATTAGTTATGTAAATTCGAAATGTGTTGCAGTGAGTTCAGTTATTGTGGATTAATTAAGATAACATCATACGGCCTGTAATAACATTAGTTTACATAGTTTCATACCCAAAGATCTGCAATATTGACTTTGAGGGATTTTAGTTCTACAAAGTTCAATTCCTAGTCAGAAATAAACTATTTTATTTTTATTATTTATTTATAAAATGTTTTAATTAAGTATGTTATAAATTAAGAAACTTTAAATTACTTAGGAAGTTAACAAGTATTTTTTTAAAGCAAAAAAACTTGGGCTACAGTGATACAAGCTCACTACTTGGAAAGAAATGGTCTGAAAAAGTGAACATTTCTGCTGGAAAATTTTATTTTAAAAATTTTATTCTGTCATGGAACATTTAAAAAAAAGTTGAATTATCCCTCGTGAGTGTTTTTATCAGCTTGAAAAGCTAAAAAATTTCTTGTTCCAATAGTTAAACAAATTGTATTCAATATATTTTTAAAGCAGCAGACATGATAGGAATTTTTATGCTAGTTAATTGATTTGAGTTTACAGAGTAAAAAAAATAAAAATAAAACATGTTATTGTAATCAATAGTATGAGGTAGAAAAAACCTACCACGCTTCTATCTTGAATCAATGAGAATTAGTGGAAACACATTGATTCGTAGCATTTTCAATTAATCGATTTTAGGCGAGTTAATTACTGATGTTACATTTTTATTTTATTATTTTTCTTAACTTTCATCCAATCTAACTGAACCATTTTTTTTAATCACTATTAATGATTAAATCAATAAAATTATTTAAATTATTTTATCAGTTCAATAACTGATAGCAATAAAATCTTCACCAATTAAATCCACGATAATTTACATTGTATTTACATTCAGATGCAATTAAGTGTTTTATTTAATTTTATTTCCACATTATTCAGCAATAAATAACTCTAAATAGAAATCTGGATAAATTTATCCCGCACGTAATTACGAGTACGTTTAAATGGAGTTACAATTTATTTTCGTAATTTTTTGAAAGTTGATTTTCAAAAAGAAAATCAAACAAACTAAAAAGAGAAATTCTGTGTGACCAATGGGGTGTTATTTATAACATTAGCATATACGATGGCCGATTCACGCGGCTTCAAACCAATAAATCAACTGTGGAGTGCGGCAGTTCAGGCGGATGCGGATTTGGAGTGTCTATATGAAGAGATATCAGGTGTTCCAGCGCCAGTAGAACCAGAACGTCGAAGTGTAGGTTCAGGAACGAGTAATCGTGAGCGACCGAAGAGGACGAATAGTCGTGAAGAGGAAGAAACATTAAAACGTAGTGCAAGTACTGGTCGTCGTCCACGTGAAGAAGCAAAAGAGAAAAAACCGCCACAGGCGCAACCACGTCATCATCATCCTCATCAATACACGCAGTCAGCAGCACCAGCGCACCTGCGTGATCCTCTTAGCAGCAGGGTGGAGGAACACTATGTCGCGCGAGGATTTTATGGGGAGTCTGTCGGCGCCCCATTCGAGGCTTCTGCCTCTTTTAAGCTGACGAGCGGGCGAATTCACGCCCATTACCCTCACTTTCATCACTACACCAGCAGTGTGCGGCGTCCTGGATCAAGACCTGCACCTAGACATCACTTTCCACGCGGTGTATTCAGTGATGAGACGCAGGAAGAAATACAGGAGGACGATGAAGCTACTCTCAGGGAGTTGCTCGTAAGGTACGTCCTCCTTTTAACCATTTCTTCCCCTTCGATTTCTTATATTTCTTTTACCCTCAACAATGATTGTCTGCACAGTTGAAAATTTTGTGTTCCAGTTGTTGATGGGAAAGACCACTTGATGATCTTTTTTATCTAGGATTAGTATTCTAATGTTTGTCATTCATTTTTAGTCTTTTGATGTGATGCTGGATTATTTTTAGAAAGAAAGATTATAAAATAGTTGGAAACCACATAAATTATTTATTTATGGTGCGAAGTAAACCGAACGATTGTGTAGGGAAAATAGGGGCTAAAATTGACAGGGGTAAATATTGAATTTCAATTTATGAAGGATTTTATGTCATAAATATTTAATTTATAGCTCGTTTGGATTTTTATTATCTAGTAATATTCTAATAATTATGATATCAGTTAAAGGTCATGGAGAATTTTTATTTTATCTTTTTATTACTTGTTGATAATTTTGGAGTAAAAATTATCTGGACTGTAAAAATGTTGCTTTTTTTTATATCACAAATATTGATCAGTGAATCCTAGTTTACGTAGATTATTGGGTTTGTGTTTGTGTTAGGAAATTTCTAAAGTTGAAGTGTTCTTAGAATTTTTTCATACGAAAACTTTATTAATTTGAATCTTTTTATGAGAAAGTTTGAATTTTTAGGTGTGTGTTGTAAATTGGGGAATTTTTTTTTATTCATTCACTTTTAAACGGACCAATCGATTTTATTCTCTTTTTCTATTGTATGAACTACTGAAGATTAATAATCCGTAAAATTATAGACCTCTGTAGAGAATACATTTGAAAATATCTATTGATTCAATTGCTGATAACAGTTCACATTCGTTCAGTTTATTTTTATTGTAGAAATATTATTCGAACTATTCCAACATCAATAATAATATCAAATCATCAATAAATTATAAATATAATAGCACAACATTTTTCCAACTGTGCCAATCTACCAAAAAGATCACTGGTATCTGTCAAAGACGAGTTCTACTTTTCTCCAACACGACATTGTTTTAATTTAAGAAAGCAACAAATTTATAAATTATTTGGAATTTTATTTATTAAATTAACAATAATAATTATAATATAAAATGAAATAACTATTCTAAAAGTGTATACACATGGATTAAAAAGTAATCAATAAACTAAAGAAAAAGTTGATAAAGTTTTTAGAAAAAATATCTTGAAAATAATTCAATTCATTTCTCAGCTACATATTCAGCAGTATTTGTTCTATATGTTACTCATTATTTTGTTTGTTATCAACATTTATATGAAAATAAATGCAATGCAAGGCTTCTCCGGCAATGCCATCCATCATTAAATACATGAATCACACACTTTAGATTCCATTTGTTGTACATAATAGTTAACACTATGTATACTTAATTCATAATTATTCGTATTAGTATACACTTTCGTGTGATAAACATGGTATGTTTTTTATTTTATTTTACTCTTTAATTCTTTGGCTGCGACGCTCGCAGGCTTACCACTGATTGCTTATATTCATTTTTATCTAATCATGTCCCTCATGGTCGTTCGTTTAAATGAATTTTTCCATTTCACTATTTATTCAATAATTCAATTAAAAAATCAATCATCAATTTAAATGCTTAAAAAACTAAATTAAAAACTTGCTTCATGATGCACTTCATGAGCTTATCAATGCATAAGACATTATCATAAATAATAAGACTAGAGTAACTACTTAAACTACAATCGATTATTCATTAATTTGTTTAAATACTTGTTTAAAATCGGATTAAAATTGGTACAAGATGAGGTTGATGTTATTTCACGAAAGGGAGAACAGAAAAGTGATGATGACCAAGAAAGCATTATAACTTTATCAGATTTCTTGAATAAAGGAAAAAGCAAATGCGATTTAATTGGATTACTTACAAGCAGTCTCGTGATTTTGAAGTTTCTGTTTCAAACTTTGAACGTTTTATCATATCATATAAAAAATTATAAGATAATTTACTTCAATTGAATGACTTGTCATTGTGAAGAGTAATATCACCTCATTAACATCCATAAAAAAAAAACTGACTGAAACTAGAAATGTTTTAACATTTACTTTCTTCTAGTTGAGAGAAGAATTTTTTTATTAGATAACTTAATTATATGACTCATAAAAAGATAACATTAAAAGAAAGTATGATAAAAAAAAACATCTTGATTTTATTAATTATTTGCTTAGGAAAATTAGGCAGAACAATAGAATGTCTGAATTTATTTTGATTTTAGATAATTATTGTTTTTTTTCTTTTTTAAATAATCATAATTTAATAAAGTAAAACAGTGGAATATTTGCTTGTCAGTCCTTAAAATATCCTCCACATGAAATTAATTAATTGTATCAATAAATGTATTATTTGGTGTACAATATTTTGACACTTCTACACTGGTACCATCATAAATTTCAATATTTCATGGGGTTGATGTGAATAGATAAACTTATTGATAATTTTATTCATTAAATATTTTAACATCAATTATTATTCTTTTATATTCGATTATTTATAAAAAAATTTCCACTTCTATTGTTAAATTTAATAATATATCCAATTTCTATCAACTTTTCCCTAGAACGTGATTAAAAATAATCTGATACACCATGATAAAATTATATGTTTGAAAATAAAAATAAACTATAACATAAAAGACAGATGATCTGATTTCATTTTTAAAACTTTTATAAAGTCTCTGGTGATAATTATAACAATGATTTTTAAAATAAAATTTATATTCATTAGTCTCATATTATCCAATCTTTCTCTAAACATCAATGAGCAGGTAAAAATTTTTGTTATGTAAAAGTTGAAAGTTAAACAAATCTCCAATAACTAATGCAATTTATTAACTAGAAACTAAAGTTTATTTTTCAATTAAAACACAATTATTTATAAAGGCAATTAATAAACCATAATTTGGCTAACAAATAAATATCAGAAATCAAAACTGAATAGGAAAAATTCATTAATACGTTCGTCCGTAATCATTCATGAGGTCATGCTGATTTTTGTCAATTATTTTTGGCCAATCTACCATCATCCGCGTGCGCATCAAGTGATGGGGTCCATTTGAATTTCAAGCTCGCTCGTGGACGCGGGAATCTATAGGCAGGGGTGAGTAAGCTGGCGGCGCGTCGCATAAAAAATAGACAATGACGAGACGAGAACGATGACTAAATGATTGTTAAAAAAAAAAAAAAATAAAAGAAGAAAAGACATTATTGGAGTAAGTAATCGCCCTCGACTGGTCATTTCGTGTGCGATCGACGCCATCAATCATCTTATATACTGAACCACGACTGTGTTTCCTAAACTAGGTAAAGCTTACAGAGTGCTAAAAGGTGGAACGCGAGTCGCGGACCAGCCCCAGCTTCGTTGGCAGGTTGGACCCATTTTGGCGACTGATCGAGACATTTAACGAGGCGTAAGAAAATAATCTGATTGCGCCGAGTGATTACGCGCGCTGACGATCAAAGTAACGCAGTACGTGTTGCAAGTCGAGAATTGAAAAAGACGAGAATTGAAAGCGAGTGAATCTGAAGAGGAAGTGAAAAAGGTTTGGGAGGAGTATAGAAGGCTACTGTAGTTTCGGAACACAGCCATGGTCTCCCTATCTCCCAGGTACATAAAACGACATCGTCACTGATCTAACTCTTTCTCTCTATCTCTTGCTCTCTAAATATATTACATATCTGTCTCTGTATTTTATTACATACTCCGAGAATCATATTCATGTTTATTCATTTATTCACATCTCTCTCACTCTCAACGCAATGCGGTTTATTTACAACATTCCTTATTCGTTTGTTATATATTATGTTACATTTTAGCTAATTTACTATTCACGTATCGCTACATTTGATTTATTCTATTTTATCGACAGGCTTGTAATTCATATTTTATGAAAGCATTTCAGTACATTTTGTTCTATATCAGGGTGATAGTCATTACTCTCAAAATTTATCATCATCATTTTTAAAATTAAAATAATTTTTTCATCAGATAGCTTTTTTATAATAGATAATAGAAAAAATATTTATGGAATTTTTTAGGATGAAATAATGAAATTAAATGATCCTTTAAGGGATAAATTTCATGAATTAAAATAACTGAATATTTTAATTTAACTTCATCAGCGTAACTTTAATTCAATTACTTTGAAGCTATTTCAAATTTAATCTTTATGAATTGATAATTTTTTTATTATTTATCACGTTAGAGTTAATAAAAATCAATTATTTTTCACATTCTTGTTTAATTTATTTATCCAATCGAATGATTTTAAAACTTTTATCTTCAAATTAATTCACTTTTCTACTTATTTGAATTATTTCAGTTGAAATCTACTATTAATACATTTATTTTACTCTCAAATAATTCATAATAGCAGAAAAAAGTATTTCAATATATATTAATTGATCATAGGCACATAAGCAAAATGTAGTTTATTAAATAATAATTTTATTTTTACTTACTTTTAGATTACTTTGACATTTAAAAAATTTATGAGCAACTCTTTCATCCATCTTATCTCGTTAAAAATAAATTATTTTTCAATTCAAAACTTTATTCAAAAAGAAAGTGTTTGAAATACTTTCATGTAAATACTTTACAAGTCTGCTTATCAGTTGTCTTGTCAGTCAATTATCCTCTTAGAATTTTATCACCTTTAATGACTCTTTATCATGTGAAGAGCACTACCTGCATCGTGTTTATTCACAAAATGCTCACTCGAAGATAATTATTCTATTTTTATCGATTTATTTGTCAGTTAAAGTATTTTAAAAATTCCATTCAATTCCAAGTAATTAAATCAAATACCTAATACATTTATAATTCCTTATCGAAAAAAAAAAAGTATTATAAAACTGAAAAATAATATAACAATGAATTTGAAATTAAATTGCACAATTTAATATAAACAGTAGAATAAAAATAATTCAATAAACACTTTCACCACTACAAGAGAGAAATTTTAGAACACACGCTTTATTAGTCGCATTGTCTATGTTGTCTTATGTGATATAAACAGATATGTGATCGTGAAAATTTTGCTGCTGCCGAGCTGAGTGCACTTAGCTGAATTAAAGAGAAAAAAGTCGAAAAAGTAACGGAGAATAGATGTAGAAAAAAAAATAAGAAAGAAAATAAGAATGAATGAATGAATAAGCGAAATAAGTGTTAATATGCGAGAGAGTATTACACTTGATGGAGCAAAAGGCTCGGCAGTTTCGCGGTAAAGGTAGTTGGACGGCTGTTATAGGGACTAGCTCATAGCTGGACTTGGTCTGGCATCAGTGTGTTGCCATGTCGTGTTGTTTAGATAAGTATAAGGGCACAGATTCATTGGTGCTAATGTGTATGTCACAGTCTGCAGAAACAGGTCAGCGTGATGAGTATGAACTTGAGTGCCAAGCTGGATGAGCTTCAGCAACGGGGTGACCGTCAGTTGGAGACGACGGTAGCTCTTTGTGAAATACGAACACAGCTGCAGGAGCTTACTAAAAGCGTCGAGTCGTGTCAGAGCGAAGTCAGCGAAGTCAAACGAGACATGGTTGCGATAAAGGTATGATTCTGGTACTGTTAATTCCCTTGGCAGTAAGTTCTATCCAATATAATTGGTCATGCATAGCCCATTTACTGGGCATTACTGCTACCAATGTGTACATGAGTCATGACTAGCCAAAGTAAAAAGAATATTGTTCTTGTCACGTGTATTCTACAGCATGAGCTAGACACTGTGCAGCAGGTGAAGGAGGAAATTGAAGAATTACGAGAATACGTGGACAGACTAGAAGAGAATACCCATCGACGAAAACTTAGGCTTCTGGAGCAGGTTTGATATCATAAATGTCACTTTTACAATTCTTATTTTTGTATTACACCTTTCAATATTTTATTCTTTAGTTTATCCTCAAATTTATTCGATTCAATTCTTGTTTAGTTTTATATTTGTATTTTCGTTAAGACCAACCTGACACTCATTGTATTTTTTATATAATCCACAGAAATATTTATGTAATCAGTATTTTAAGTTTTTATGACATTTTTATTTGTAGAGAAATATATTTTTTTTAAAGTTATCACTTTATGTTATGTTATGTTATTTATGTAAATTTGTATTTTTTGTATTTCATCTGATTGTATTCAATAAATTTTTTTTTTCATTTTTTTGCTATTTTATTTTCACGTTATCATTAAATAATTCTTAACAGAATAATTTCTTTAACTGTATTTTTACGTTCCTACAATATTTTTTACACTCACGAATAATAAATATCATCTCACAAATGGTTTTATAAACGTACAATTTACATTTCTTTTATTTCATCATTCATCTTGAAATAATTGTGCTATATTTTTTACACTATTTTTTATGTTTCAAATATATAGCAAACTTATTCACTATAAAAGGGAAATATGTTTCAATAGAATTATTTAAAATTCTTACAAAACTATGTGCTAAAGTATTACAATGGGTTGCTCTTGAGATAATTCATGAATTTTATCAAGCATACATCATCCAATTGAATAAAACTTTGTTCTCCATTCATCTCCAATTCTTCATTTTCATCCAATTACTAAAAATCATGTGCCACTGTAAAAATATATATTTTTTACTTCTTTTTTATCTTAAAAGCAACAACGTTGTGTTAGAAATTATCTAATTTTTGTCTAAACCTTTGAGATGTTGATAAGATATTCTATATTGTTTAAACAATGTTTGATTGGCTTAAGAACATTTTTGACCATAAATATTCTTTAGATAACAATTATAAAATAATAATCCTATTTGGAATATTCAAGGTCAAGATAAGATTTAATAAAAATTCTATTAAACGTAAAAGAACTTAATTAATTTTTTTTTTTTTTAATTTCCTACAACCAGGTAAATGTTTTCCTTCAATATATTCAGGAATGACATATTTTATTTGTAAATTTCATTTAATATTTCAAAGTATTGATGGATTTATAAAAATGACATTTATTTCCAGGGGTTAACATTCTTCTTAGCATATGCAATTTTCGCTGCAGTGCTTGGAATGTTACAATTTGGCTACAATACAGGAGTAATAAATGCACCTCAAGGGGTAAATACTTGACATTTTCAATAATATATTATATTTTTATTTTTCCATAATACGAAATATATTTCACATAAAATATAATAAATGTAAATCACTACATTATAAATGTCGTTTTCAGAATATTGCAAATTTTATGAAGGACGTTTATAAAAACAGATATGGAAAAGATATGTCAGAGAGAGCTGTTGATAGATTGTACTCCATAGCAGTTAGCATATTTGCAATTGGTGGAATGCTCGGTGGATTCAGTGGAGGTATCATTGCCAACAGATTTGGCAGGTAAGAGATCAATCAAACTACAATTCATCGTAACGCAGGGAATATTGTGATAAAAATTCTATTAAAAAATATTCATATTTTAAATTCAAGTTTTTGAATGAAATCAATAAAAAACAAATAATTGAACAATTATTCTATATTGAAATTTAAATAAATTTCCATCACGTAATTATTTTTATTGTTTCAAAAATTTAAAACTATGAAAATGTCAAGAATATATTTTGAGTTTTTTTTCAGTATGAATTTGACAAGTTTATTTAGTGAAACGTTAATATTTACTATTTGTGGCTACTATATTACCGTTATTTAAAATAAGTACAAATTGTTATCGTCATTAATAATAATGATGATAATAATAATAATTAATGAGAGCAATGTGAATGACTTCAGTGTACCTCATATATCATAATTTATCTATGTATAACCGCAAACTGCGTAGTAACTAAAGTGACCACAAATGGTCCATTTACTCTCTAGAAACATTGACAATTGATTTTTTTGTTTGACATTGAATACAAGAATAGCAGGTTTATAGAAATCACACCTCATTACGTTACAATTAAAACATAAAAAAGGAATAATATATTAAAATTTTTCTAAATGAAATTACAAATAATTAACTACCATGATGTTGAAGATGTATGTCTAATGATTGAACTTTGATTGTCATCAGAAAAGGGGGCTTGCTGTTGAACAACGTGCTGGGAATCGTGGGAGCATGTTTGATGGGTTTCACAAAAGCAGCCTATGCGTACGAGATGCTGTTTCTGGGACGATTTATAATCGGTATCAATTGCGGCTTAAATACATCGTTGGTTCCCATGTACATATCGGAAATAGCACCATTAAATCTGAGAGGTGGCTTGGGCACGGTGAACCAGCTCGCTGTTACGGTGGGCCTCCTGATCTCCCAGGTGCTGGGCATCGAGCAGATCCTCGGTACGAATGATCGCTGGCCTGTTCTATTGGGTTTAGCTATCATCCCAGCTATAGCCCAGCTGCTGCTGTTACCAATTTGTCCAGAATCCCCAAGGTAAACGACAAGAGAACTGTCTAAACTCAATATAGCTCTGAAATACCATCATAAGCATCTTATCTCAAGTACTATCCTATATACTGTCTACTATCATATTACAGACACTATCTTTGCTTGTTCTCTGCAGATATTTACTTATTACAAAGCAGTGGGAAGAGGAAGCTCGTAGGGCCTTAAGAAGATTGAGAGCTAGTAATCAGGTAGAAGAGGACATAGAGGAAATGAGAGCGGAAGAACGAGCTCAACAGGCTGAGTCGACGATTTCAATGGGTGAACTTGTATGTAGTCCAACCTTGAGGGCTCCTCTTGTTATTGGTGTGGTTATGCAACTCTCACAGCAACTTTCAGGCATCAATGCAGTAAGTTCTCTAACGTAAATCTTCATTTCAATATCACTATTCTCTTGTGATAGCATATACTACTACATAGTTAAATACCATAATCCACAATAATCATAATCTGTTTTATTGATGTACAAAAGGGGTTAGTTATTGCAGGCTTCCCCGATATTAATTGAATATTATTATAGAGCACATCTTCTACATATAGAACATCAATAATATTGATAATATTGATGAATTAGTTCTACTTAATTATTATTTCAAAACATCAACGTTGATGTTGGCATAGCTTATCTTTCAGAGAAAATCAAACTTGATTAATTCGAAGCTAACTGGAGATCAAAATCATTTTTGTTCATTTTTCATGAAGAAATTTAATCATCATGATGATAATAATTGAATGTGACCAATTTTTTTTTTATTTTTAGAATTTGTTAAAAATATTTTTCAAATGTCATACTACAATTTTTATTTTAAAAAACTCTTTCAGTCTTAGTGCTGGAAAAAATGTCCGATATAAATAACCCCTAAACGCAATTATCTGATAAAAATAACTCATAAAAAGCTATGAATAGGGTTATTTTTATGGATCGTCTAGTTCTCGGTTATTTAGCACAGGCATCCTTTCTACTCTTCCTTCATTTCAATTAAATTTACTCTATCTATAACTTCTAAAACAATTGCTTTACTCTTTTATATTTTTAATTTTATCATAAACTCAATTTATTTTTTTCTATTAAAGTAAGTTGATAAATATTATTTTTGATTGTATAATCAATTTATTATCAAATGGCTTGACTACTAGACCAAAATAACTCTTATTCTTTCAATTGATCGTTTATCATTGGACTTTTTTAAATGTTTTATTTAATATTGTAGGTATTTTACTACTCAACAAATCTATTCCAAAGTGCCGGATTATCACAAGAGAGTGCCAAGTATGCTACAATTGGTATCGGTACAATAATGGTTGCTATGACATTAATATCAATTCCCTTGATGGACCGAACAGGAAGAAGGACTCTTCATCTATGGGGTCTCGGTGGAATGTTCATATTCTCCATATTCATCACAATTTCGTTTCTCATAAAGGTAAGTCTTTTTCTCTATAAAGAAATTTCCTCAACTTTATTCTTTACATTTATAATAAAGCAGTAAAGTTTACATTAAATTACAGTTTCTATAAAGTTTTCAAGAGCTTCTAACTCGTATTAAAAAATTGAATAGAAATCTTTTTAATGAAATCTTTAAAAATCGTTCATTTATAATTAATGTACATATTAAAAAACTTTTGTATTAGCATCTTCCTCAAATATTCATAAAAATAGATTTTCATTATTCTATAAATATTAAAGAACTCAAAATTACCTTTACATGAATAATACTTTCACTAGAAAATACCTTAGATAATGACAAATAATATTCATTTGAAGAATGATTCTGAAAAAAAAAGATCAGTTAGAAGATGAGAAAAATTTCTTAAATGGGTCAAATAGAAAAAAAAAGTTCATATAACATTATTAGATTTATAATTAATTATTCAATATCTCTATGGAGAGTAATAACATAAAAATAGTACTAGACACTTAATGGATACTGAAGAGAAAAGAAAAACTTTGAAATCTAATTTGAAAGAATGTTTCTTTCTCATATTACTCAATTATTTTTTTTTCCAAATAATCATAAAAGATTCACAGACAAATGGTTATATTGAAATCGTATAGCTTCTCAGAATAATACTGACATATCAACTCATATTTCAGGAAAAATAATTCTGCATACAATATATATCATATCAACTTTGATCAATAGGATGTTAAACTTTCAACCACTTAATGTAGACTTTACTGTACTTATATTATAAAGTCGTTAAAAAATAACGATCTGAACTATTGTGTTAAATTATATACACACATACATATTTGTATGTATGAAGAGTAAAATAAGCTAAAGAATTCGATATGATTCTTTTATGAAACTTGAAAGAAGCATTATCGAAAGCTCTGACCTATATAATAAAAGCTAAAAGCTGTAAATACCGATCTCTTCGTATGCTTCAACACAACGCACCCGAGTGCAAGGTACTTCAAAATGCTTTGTTCCCAGCTGGAGTGGGGCACTGCACCGACTGTGAGGATATTATATATCACTGCTATATGTAAACGTCAATATAACGTAATCTTATAGCATAATATATCATCTAGAACGTAAGACTCCAATCTCCTTCAACCCGCATGCGCTTTTTTTTCACATTTAAATAGAACAAAAAAAATTTTTTCTCTCATTTCACTACAATACAGTCAGTCATTACACCATAATTATTGGCTTTGCTGATGCAGCAAAACGATAACACAATTTGCATGTTTATTTGTTTTTATTGTTGGATAATTTTGCATTCCCACTTTCCTTCTCCCTTCAATCATAACGACCTCTTTCGTGACAGTCTGGAGGAGAATTAAATTCATTCAATTCATTCTCATTTAAATATTTCATTTTTTTTAAAAAAATTTTATTTTAATTATATACGCTCAAACCTGTTACTCTTTACAGTCTTACGAATCTCTCTAATACTTTTTACAGTCATTGAAAAGCTTCAATAGCTTCCTCTAATGCTTGCATAAACTTGACTTTCAAGTACTTTTATTTCTATTGAATATGTAATATAAAAAGTAAGAGCTTCTAAAGGGGTTTTTTTTTTATTATTATTATTCATTTAAAATTGATCAAATTTATTGAGATACTGTTTATTACGATACTTTGAGAATTTTCATCTCTTATCTGGAGCATTAAAATATCGTATGAGGTCAATTAACTTACATTACATCACTATCCTATCATACTGAAGTTATTTTGTAGACAAAATTAAAATTTTAGAAAATAACATCCTTTCCTAGCTTTCTCATATAAACTATTTAAAATTAACAACTTATTGTTGTAAAAAAAAAAAAGATAGATAATTATTTGATGAATACATGTAGATTTTTAATGCTAATATATAGTGTTTTTTATCTCACGAATTATTTAGAATAAATTCCACGGAATTTGTTGGTAAAATCAATATCAAAGCTATCAGTATGTTCATGTCGATGTTTATTGATCATTTAAATTTAGTTATAACTTTAGAACAAACATTAGTTTAATTCAGTTCATTGTGATACTTTTTAAAAATAGATCAACTACTAAAAAAAATTAATCATCATTTTTGTCACTCCATAAAAAATAACTCTTTAAATAAAAAAAAAATTTCCATTTTGTTTATAAATCATTTTTCCTCATTTTCCCTCAACTCAGAAATACGAGAAGATGCTAAAACTTGACACACACTGCTTATTTAAATAAAAACGCTGAAGCTATAAAGCACCTAATATTAGAAATATATATAATGAATAATTCAACATATAATTCACAAGTCAAAAAATTTTTCTTCTTTACACATGACACTAAAGTGCAGGGTTGAGCCGCACGTGCATGGCAAATAATTTTATTTATGTTTATGAAAAAAAAAAATTCATTTTTATCCTGAGGCTCCTCCAGCTGCTCAGGAAAGATGAACTTAATACTACGCCCTGATAGGAGTTTTTCAATTACGTACAGGAAATGATTGATTGGATGTCTTACCTCTCAGTCGTGGCGACATTGAGTTTCGTGGTATTCTTTGCTGTGGGTCCAGGCTCAATACCTTGGATGATCACGGCTGAATTATTTTCCCAAGGTCCACGACCAGCTGCCATGTCGATTGCAGTCCTTGTTAATTGGTTAGCTAACTTCGTTGTTGGAATTGGTTTTCCGAGTATGATGGTAAGCTTGACTATTTTTGTTCTAATTTAATTTATTAGCCCAACACAAACTAATATATTAATCTAATATTAAAATAACCTGTTAATTAGAGTACAGAGATTGTAATTCCAAATTCTTTATTACATTTTGACAAATGAATCTAGATTTTTTTTCAGGTAAAAATTCTGTATTGAACAAATCACTAAGTTTGTTCATTAGTGATATTACTATTCAATCAACTACGTTTGATTGAACTGAAGTTTTCTATTAATAAATAGACTAGATTTTTTTGACTCTAAATACTTGAATGAAATTCATTGAATACTATACTAAATCACTTTTCTGAACATGAATAATTTTTTTTACACATCAATATATATTGTTTTTATTAAATTAGTAGAGTAAGCCTCTAACCTAATAGTAATGAATGAATTTTGACTTGTAATAAGTAATCTTTAAGCTTTATCTCCATTTTTCTAGTATTCTTGACTTGTTCCAGTCTTTTCTACTCTATCAAGCAAATATTTAATCACCAACAATCATTTCTTTCAGATCTGTTAATAATTTTCTCTCAGTGAATATAATTCAACCATATTCATGATAAATAAAATGAATTCATAGCTCAGCAGTAAGGTGCTGGACTATGAGGCTAGTAATCATCTTGATTTGTATTTTTTCGTTCAAACTTTAATTGGTCCTAACTGATTTAACCATCATTCTTGTCCACTTTTGATGTGCCAGCAGATTGTTTTCAAATTTAAAGATGATAAACAAGAAAGTTCATTATAAAAATATTTTCAAAGATTCCAATAAAATAGAAAAGATAACAAAATTCAATATCATTGTGATATTTCATTGAAATTTTTACTTGGTACACAATAGGCTTTTGAGTACTTAAAGATGTAAGCTTCTTAAGAATGATAAAACGAAAGAATTGGAATTTAAATTTTACGATAAAAATGGAGTGAAATAGATAATAAAATTTTTTGTAATATTTGTTACAGAGTTGCCTTGATAACTATACATTCCTGCCATTCAGTGCATTCCTAGCGATTTTCTGGATCTTCACATACAAAAAGGTGCCAGAGACGAAGAATAAAACCTTTGAGGAGATCTTAGTTCTATTCAGGCATAGTCATGACAGGTATGAGGATAAGAAACGAATAAATGTGCAACCCGGTAAATACACTAGTACAATGCAAGACCGATAATTTCTTAAGTTTCTCTATTAACATTATAAACTTAAATCACGCACTTAAAGTTTGGTTTAGCAAGATGAGAGACAATTGAACCGAATTTAGATGAGTAGAACTTGAGCTGTATTATGGAACAATTGCATGCAGAGAATCCCATAACTATATAGCTTACATATAAATTATTCACCCGTGTATCATGAGCGTATGAGTAATGCGGTCTACAATACAATTTTCATTTGAATTAAATTTGAAAGCCATATGTACGATACTTGTTGTATGATATATTCTGTGATAAAATAGCGCTTACATGACGTACATCTCTATATTATCTTGTCTGTCGTGATTAAATTGTTGAAAAATTTTCTATTTATTTATCTTGAATAACAAAGCAATAATAATATCGTTGTAATTCATTTTAATATTTTTAATATTTGAGATGTTACAGCTAAATTTTCTACCCATATCATCAATTTGATACTTTTATTTTTCCATTATGAAGCTTATTAACATCATTCTGATCATGAGATGATTGATTATGTTAAAAAAGTTTTTACATTTGGAATACGTGTAAAGTAAATTGATCAATTGAATTAAAAACTTAAATTAGAATTAGTCATTGAAATTCTAAAGATTATTTTGAAATTAAGAAAAAAATAGTGTGGTATTATTGATAGAATTTGCACCAGTGGTTGACATTAGAGAAATAATATTAATAAACATTTGAAATGATTCACAAAATTTTACTATTATTTATGGAAATACTTATTTTATCGATTGTTATATTCATTTGTATAAATGTTATCAGATTGCATATCTTCTATAATTAAATATACATATTTAATTTTTATTAAACACTTAAAAAAGTCACAATGAATATCAATATTTTTGCACAAAAAATTACTATAGCATCAAATTTAAATAAAATATTTCTATCTTGATTGTATGAGGAATCATGTAGCATTTTTATATTTTTTCAAACTCAGATAAATTTAAATTTATTTATCTTAATTCATTAGCATCGAAATATTTGATTTTTACATTATTTTAAAAATAAAAATCTATTAATATTTTATTAAAAATTATAGTTAAACACAGATATTTTTATTTACACTTAAATTTTAATTATTTATAATAACATGTTAATTTTGAATGAAATTATTTAATTATAATTTTTGTTTATTATATGTTTAATTGATTAACTATTATTAAAAATTATTTAATTATTAATGTAATTTTGTTGTTCAGAAAATAAACTATTATTTCAAATTACCAACTTTTGTTTATGATTTATTATAATTCATTTATTAATTTAATTTTCTCAATTAATTAGAGATGTAATAATCTATTCTTACGACAAATTGTACATTATTGTTGTCGTAATTATGCTTTCTATCTGTGTTACTCTGAACAGGAGCAGCTTGCGAGACAGCCGACTTTATGGGTGAGTTACTGGAAACAATAAATTGTGTTTTTTGCGTCGGTGGCTTTTTATTTCAATTAATGGATTCTTTTATATATAATATATTTTCCTGCATGGTTACAACGACATATGAAGTGTTCCTTAGACTTTTTTAACGGCTGTATAGTTTTTTTTTTAACACTTTTTCTTGATTCCAACCCTCTGAGTAATGATTTCTGCTATTTTTTAATAAAAAAAAGATATTTAAAAACTTGATAATCCATCAACCTCAATGCTTTGAAGCAAAAAATGATTTAATAATGGTTTAGATGAATTAATTGTCTAAGAAAAAGCATGTGGAATTATTTTTTCTCATGTCTACTAGTTGAAATGCTACAACAATAATCTTAGACTAGCAAAAGCTAATTGGAAGTTGAACATTCTTCATAGCTGCATGAACGACTATCATTAAAATATGTCTATTTCTTCTTAACGTGAAGATACATTTCACAGTTTCTGCAAAGTTACTCAGGGCTATTGTGTGATTTAAAGTTAGTTAGTAGTAGAATGTTCACAACAAGTTATATGTAATATAATATATTATCTCAATTTATAACATAAGAGCCCCGAACACTTCCTACTGTTGGAGTCTACCATTTTATCGCATGCTCCTACTTTAGTTTATAAAATAAAATTAATGTTAACAACTAATGGTGTTCATGTACTACTTTTTTATTATTTAATACATAGTTATCACTAGTAATGATTTATTATGATCTGCTACAAAAGATTGCATGGAAAAATGCTTGAATAATTGATCAATGTATTTAGAATAGCATTATTTTACATTGTTTTATGAAGATAATTCATAATTAAAAATATCTATAAGTTTAAAATTTGATAGAAAAGAAGAAGAGTTTATGGAATAATATGAATTATGATAAAGTCGCTTATGTAGCTTGAGAATTGTAAAATGGACTAATCAATTTAGTCCAAATGATGAAATCAAAGTGATGTGATGGTGACAATCATTTGATTTCATCATTTTGATTGAATTGATAGGTTTGTTGTAGTTCATTCTCAGTAAATTTATCCATTTACTATGTTTGAAAGCACTTTTGATCGTTTCTGAATGAGCTTGTACTTCTAGTTATTTTCAAATGTCTGACTGTTGTATTGAATAACTGCTTTATGACTAAATTAACGCATTTAGATCAATATTGTTGCCATAAAAATAATAGGAGGAGTTAAAACGATATATACAGATTATTTTTAATGAAAAAAAAATTGATGAGAAGTTTATTGAAATTTTAGGATGATTTAAATTTAAAACAGTAATGAAACCCTCAATGTCTATAATTAAATGTATATCAGTGTGTATAAATATTGTGAATATTGGTAAATTTAGTATGAAAGGTTTTGCCGAAACATTCAAGAATTTATTAACGCTTAGCTGTTGATAATTAACATAATTAATCAATTGAATATGCAGTGTACATTTACAGGAAATTCATAATTAACATATAAATAATTTTCTGCATTTTCAATTATTGAGATTATTAATAATTATCATGATTTTTACAGTCATATTTTTAATCAAGAATTCCAATAAATTTTCAAATAAATTAAATGTGGGATCATATAAATAAAAAGCTTGACAAATTGTTGTTCATTCTAAAATTAAATAAAATGCAAGCGGGACGTTGATGAAACGTGAAATTAAATGAAATCACAAATTGAAGCCAATTTAGGGAAGTGAAATGGCCATGTAACGTTGTTATACATATATTACAGGGAAGAAGAGCTCACGACAAACTCTAGCAAGGAGACTGTTCTAACTGATGCCACTACTGCCACCAATATTCACGTCTCTGATAAGCCATAATTTCATTAGAGGATTTTTTTAACCATTTCTGAGTAAAATTATTTATCAAAGTGTTAAAGAAAAATTATTTACGCATGGACATAAATTGTTTGTCATTCATTATTACCAACTTTATCAAGTTTATTCAAATATTCTATTTATCATTAAAAACTACCACACATTTATATCATCTATCAAACATCATTGCATAATAAATAATTCATTTCTTAATTTGAATATTTCGGCATCACCATCAACTGACATTATTTATTTTATCTATTATTTTTTTTTTTTAAATAATCATTTGATTTTGTATATATAAAAGTGCATTTTTTATGCCTATTCTCTTGACGATTCTAAATATTGATAATCTATCACTAATTAGTACTCAATCATTAACCAACTGGTAATTTTTTTCACTATAAATTACTAGTAGATTTACCGAGTCATTCATTGATCATTAATCAATTCAATATCAATTAATGATTGAATATAAAATCCTCTAAATCATTGACAAAATTTTCTATTATTTTGTCTCTTATCTCTACTACACAGGCCAGTGAATGTGTTAAATTCAATAGAAACTGTGAAATGGAATAAAATTAGGTTGACATAAAATTATTGACGAAGTCTGAATAAAAAAAACTACTCATCGTGTTCATGCAGTTCATCACTGTCATTTAGGAGTAAAAAATGCATGTCATGAATGTAAATTTTGGATAAAAGAGTGCAATAACTAAAAGGGATTGAATAATGTAAACGAATGAATGAAGTTAAATCCTAAACTAAAATAGAATGGTAATACAATTTAAGAAGTGAAAATTTGGACAAGTGGCGTGTGGTGTTTTACAGGAGCATGCTAAACTGTACGAATGCGTTAGAGGGACACATACCACCAGCCGAGAGTGCAGCCCTGATGGTTGCCGAGGAGAAGCCACATCCTGATTCATGTAAGGCCTGTCAACCTGTCCGACATCAGTCGTTTCATCAACACCTGTCACTATCAAAAATTCCAGCAACAAGGCAAACAATTCCTCAGACCTGGCTGTAGCTGTAAAATGATCTCAATACCCTATTTTATTTCATCTACTATACTATCTACCACTATTTCAATTTATTCTGTAAAACTAAAGAATCCAAGAGCAAATGAATAAAAGCAACATGCTACCTCGATTCTTTTCTACTTCTCTTCGTGGTATGCTAAATCAGATTTATTGAATTATTTTTCTATCTCCACAGAAAAATTACATATTGAGTTACATATCTTGTGACTAGAATCAGAGGGAAAATAATAAATTCATATTTGCATTGAATCTTTTTATTAAATTAGAAAAAAAAGTATTACTCAGAGATAAAATTGAAAGTGATGAAGGTATGAATTTTTTTTCTGAAATTCTATGTAGATTTCTATCTTCTTTATCATACTGCTGTGTGTAAAATAACAACATTAATTTGAAGTATTAAAAAATAAAATCAAATAAAAATTCACCCTAATTTATTATTTACCATGATGTACAGGAATTTATAGTAATAATGAAATATTTGAAAATAATTTTAACTATAATATCATTTACTTGATATAAGTTGAACCAACAATTAAGCTAGATATGGGTCAATTAACGTCGAATAAATATTAATCTGTATTGTTTGAGTTGTGTCAAATGTACTATAGCACTGTCAAATATTGAAATATAATTAGAAACATCAGAAATAGTACTTTAAACATATAATAATGATGAATTGGTGATAAAAGCTAAATGATAACTAGGTTCGAATAGTTTGAAGGAAGTGGTTGGACTTTGGTTGGTAATGATGTGATTTTCAGTGGAGATTAATGAAAAATCAAAAAAGAAGCACATGAACAAAAAAGAAATCCAATGCAACAGGAATAACTCTGATTTAGTCTTAAATTCTAGATTGCATTTCTCTCTTCAAGGACAATACATATTAGGAGTTTTTGTCAACTAATAAATGATTGAATGCCCCATAAAAAATCGGTAAGATCAAGTTATAAAAATTCACTATGTAAACAGTAATATATCAAGGCGGATTCAAATTTGTGACACGCAGTGACACAGTAGATAGCACGCCTTTGAACGAGTTTACTTTAGGGAAAGTGGATGCTAGGCTAGATGATGGAGCACTATTCAATTATTGGCAAATTGGATAGTCAATTGAGTGATAAAGTGGCTTTTCTACGCTCCGTCCTACAAGCGATATACGCACCACACAATTTATTTAAAATAACACGCATATGCGTTTGTATATTACAGCAAATATTATCAAATGACCTTTCTATAAATAGGCAACTCACGAAAGACGTGATTTTATTATTCACTTAGCACTATTTCAATATTAACTTTTTCATCTAATGAAAAAATTTATTAGAAAATCTTCTCACGCGTTCACGAGGATAAAAAAAATCCTCAGAGCCTGTAAATCCTACTAAAACAGCTGCAGTCTGCGGTCTGGAAGCTTTGAGGAATCGTTTGTTACAAGTTGCAAATCCTCTTTTTCCTACACTTATGCATGCTACCTTATTATCTTTAAATGTCGTGAATTTATTCATTCGTAGTTTCACTGTAATTCATGATTATTTATTGCAATGATTATGTTTTTGCTTGGATAATATATATCTTATCATTCGAATCATTCATCTCATTACTCACTTGGTTTTATAAATGTACAGATCTGCATAGAGAAATTTATTGTCGCTTTTATTTTTATTAATATGTATTTAAAAATAAATACTTTTGGAAAAGCTATGCAGGCCTGTGGTATTACATATAAACGTATTAACAATTGTAATCATGATATTTAATTTTTTTGTTTTCGATTATTTGGATACAATCAAACATTTATTTGCATTACTGGACTGTTCGCGTATAAAAAAATTGAGAGAATAATGATATATGAGCATAAATCGGTTTTCTGCTAATAACTCAGGATCTATCAGGCCTATATAGAAAATAAGGATATCAATGAATTTGTGAGAATGGGATCTTTTTATTGCACTGGTTAAAATTACAGATGGTGCAAAATTTATGCTAAAATTCGAGGGAGTTCCCGTTTTACCCCATTTTAGGGGTGAAGAAATTAATTTTTTATATTTTTGACCTGATTCCGCATTTCTACTCATTGAGACGAAGAGAATGAGTGGTCAAACTTGCAAATCGGACAACTTTGATTTTTCGACCCGAAAAAATGGCAAGTGGTACCCCTTTCCATTTTTTTTGGCCAAAAAATAAAAGTACTCCGATTTTCAAGTTTGACCACTCATTCTCTTCGTCTTGATGCGTAGAAATGCGGAATCGGGGCACCGCCCAAGGAAATCCACGTTAACACCCTTAAACAGGGGTAAAACTGGATACAAATTACGAATCATCATCCCCTTGGCTTTAAACCCTTATAACTCATGAACGGACGGTCAAATAACTGTTTTTAAGGACGTTTTGGAAACCTAAAAATCTGAACTATCTGACAAAATCCATAGATTTATTAGAAAAAATTTCTTTCACCCTTAAAATCGCTAAAATATGAAAAAAAATCAGATTTTTATGGGGGTTTGCCTACTTCTTTGGCAATTTTGAGGGTGAAATAAATTTTTGAAACGTTTTTTATGGATATGTATCTTTAGCTAAGATTCTGAACTTTATAGAGACCCCTTGAAAATCATTATTCGATGACTTGTTTAGGAGTTACAGCGGTTCAAAGTCGAAGTAAGGGTAAAAAACTATCCACTCTACGACTTTGAACCGCTGTAACTCCTAAACAAGTCATCGAATAATGATTTTCAAGGGGTCTCTATAAAGTTCAGAATCTTAGCTAAAGATACATATCCATAAAAAACGTTTCAAAAATTTATTTCACCCTCAAAATTGCCAAAGAAGTAGGCAAACCCCCATAAAAATCTGATTTTTTTTCATATTTTAGCGATTTTAAGGGTGAAAGAAATTTTTTCTAATAAATCTATGGATTTTGTCAGATAGTTCAGATTTTTAGGTTTCCAAAACGTCCTTAAAAACAGTTATTTGACCGTCCGTTCATGAGTTATAAGGGTTTAAAGCCAAGGGGATGATGATTCGTAATTTGTATCCAGTTTTACCCCTGTTTAAGGGTGTTAACGTGGATTTCCTTGGGCGGTGCCCCGATTCCGCATTTCTACGCATCAAGACGAAGAGAATGAGTGGTCAAACTTGAAAATCGGAGTACTTTTATTTTTTGGCCAAAAAAAATGGAAAGGGGTACCACTTGCCATTTTTTCGGGTCGAAAAATCAAAGTTGTCCGATTTGCAAGTTTGACCACTCATTCTCTTCGTCTCAATGAGTAGAAATGCGGAATCAGGTCAAAAATATAAAAAATTAATTTCTTCACCCCTAAAATGGGGTAAAACGGGAACTCCCTCGAATTTTAGCATAAATTTTGCACCATCTGTAATTTTAACCAGTGCAATAAAAAGATCCCATTCTCACAAATTCATTGATATCCTTATTTTCTATATAGGCCTGATAGATCCTGAGTTATTAGCAGAAAACCGATTTATGCTCGTATATCATCATTTTATTATGTATATTTGTTTTTTCAAGTAGAAAACATTCAAATTACGTTCGGCGTAGAGAATGAAAATAATAAGTAGATAAAAAAATAATTTTCATTTTTCATTAACTGATTTAGAAAAAAAAAGAAACAATTATTTTAATTTATTCACCAATCTATCATTAATATCATTTCATTTTTCACCAGATCATTACATCATTTATACGCAATCCACAATCATAATTATTCAGTGAAAGATATAACTTAATTCATAAATATTTCCCACTTTACATTAATTTTTCTTGTGTACTATATCACTACTTACACGATAAACACTGGCCTCTGTAGTAGTTTTTAATTGAATAAAATTAAAAAAAAACTCTTCACGTAAATCCAAGCCTTTTAATGTATTTATACACAAAATTAAAAAAACAGCATAAAAAAAGTTAATTATTTTGAATGGCAAGAATTATTTTACTAAATAAAACTCATGTAGATAATAGTACGTGTGAGAATTAAGTTTTTTTTAAAACTTGTGTGTACTGTTGAATTATATATGCGTTATTTATATCAATTTATCCAGGTCATTCAAATTGTAACACCAACGCATGGATGCGCATGAATACATTAATATTAATAAATCCCTAATGAGTATAATTTATAGCAAATACACCGACTAGTTAATTATAAAATCTCTTATACGCTTTACTCTTTTATTCTTCGGTAATATAAATATTTACGTAATTTGTATAAATTGTTATTATAACATTATTAACAAATATCGAATAATCACTATTTTGAATGTTTACATTACTTTTATCTTGATTAATAATTGATCTTTTTTTTCAATTTTTTTATTAAAATGTAGAAACTTAAGTAATTAGATGGGGTTGAGTACGTCAATGACTCTTGATGTAATTAACAAACTTTTTGTTCAATTATTTATAATTATAATTTATGAACTCATTTAGAGGAACAATATCCTTTCATTGATTTCAATTGGAATTGAAAATGTATAATTAGTTTAACTGCAGTCAACAATGAACAAAAAATTTATTTAAATTTTACTAAACGTCCTAGTGAATTTTACCTGAGTCTTTCAGTAAAAATTCTTAGATGAAAATTTTATTGGATTACAAGATGAATTTTTTGATGCATTTCCCAGTAAATTTTACTGTATTTCTTAATTAAAATTCAGTGCAATACATTTTTACATGAATTCAGAAGAATGACATTTATTTATTAAGAAAATATTACTAAATATTATATTTAAAAATGTACTGTATTACTTAGTAAATTTTATAAATGTAAATTGTTTAGAACTTAATAAAATTCACTGAGAAATACAGTAAATTTTGCTGAAAAATGTACTGAATTTTTCCTAAGAAACTCACAGCAAAAATTCATGTGGTAACCCAGTAAAATTTTATCTGAAGAATTTTTACTGGGTTTCCCAAGTAGAAATGTCAAGTAGTAATATCAGACTTTGGTCAGACATTCCATAATTGTCTAACAAGACATTCCAAGATGATTTTCAAAGTTAAACAAAGTTACCTAATAAATCAATGATATCTAACTCTTTTTTTTTAAGTACAAAAATCTCATGAATTTGTCTCACGTTTTTAAATAAATGCAATTTTGTCATGTTCACGAGCTTTAATGCATAAATCACTGAATACAATTTTCCCTCTAGCAATAAATGATTTAATAAATTCACAGCCAATAAAAGTTATTAAAAATTCTTATCTCCTCGGAATCTGAGAAAAAAAAAAATCAATTGATGATGTAAAAATTGGCGTATTCATCCTCTTATAGATCCATGTTGTAGTAAATATGAGATAGTTTGAGCATAAATCTTTCTCTTGGCAGTTATTTTAATCAAGTATTGGCTGTAAATATTGAAAAAAAAGAAAATGAAAAATCGAAAGAGGTATACAATGAAGGGTAAATGTATTAATAAATTCCAACAGTTGTGTTTGCAGCTGGATCAGAACGCTCTTCCATCGCTCCCGCTCAACCGGAGAGGGCACCGCCCCCGCTTCCCCCGCCACGCTTTCCGAACAGCGGTGTCTGACAATGGGAAACTCCTCTTAATATTGGGAACTTCATAATAATGAGTACACCAATCCCATTGCTATTGAGTACAAATAGCCTCACGTTGGAGAATCATCTCTATGAAATAATAACGCAGCGTGGCAAAGCCTGCGCTACTTTCTTAAGAAATAGTATTCGTCGTGCTACTAATGCAACTAATATCCACTGGAATCAAGACTTGCAGCAGGAAGTTGATAGAAGGCGACCAAGTATCAGTTCTTAAATAGGAAATGAGCTTCAACTTTTCTTCCACTCTTCCATCATAAGAAGATACATTTTAAATCTCTCCAAGAGTGTTCAAGTTTATATAAAACGTTGATTAAATTCATCAAAAATAATTCAGTCTGTGAAGCTCGTATCACTGAAGTAAATAAAAATTGACAATTAAATTTTATCCTATGTAAGAGTTAAATAATAGTGAATTAATTGATGAGTGCAGGATTCAATTCCTACCAAGACTCGTGATTATCAGTGAACTCGTAGATAAATGTGTTATAAAGACTGGTGAAGGGTTAGTGTGATTTTGTGGGTGTAACGGAAGGTTTTCAAGTATGTTAGAGAGTGGTTAAAGGATTGAAAGAAAATTGCTCATATATTCATATAATCACGGTTATATGATATAATAATAATGAAATATAAATCTGTTCTAACTGATTTCATTCATTCGTGTTAATAATTTTTACAAGTTGAATGAAGAACAAAAAATGTATGCTGAGGCTTTGATTAATTAACATCAACGACTGGTAAACCTTCCATTATATGTACATAATTGTATATAATTGTATACTTAATTTTAATTGAATATTGCCATACCCAAACACACTGTCGTAGTAATGATGTGTATAAATGTACTATATTACTCAATGGCATAGCAAAAATTCATTCAACTTGATATTGCCATTTGTTAGGTTTTGAAATTGATTAAATATACAATTGGATATAAATTCAGTTATAGAAAGTGTTTTTAAATATTTGTGAATTGATTGTAATTTATGTGATAAATTTTATCTTCATTAGTGAGAGTTGATCTTTATAAAAGGTCATAATACTATTGAATGTTTTTAATGAAACTTTAAAAAAAAAATCTCTATCAACAGTATTAATATGTTATTAATAATTTAGGATAAAAATTATGCGTAATAATATTGATTAAAATATTGGAAATGGAATTTAATATAAGTAGAGAGATAAATATTTAAAAATGTCATATCAATAACCAAAGGGTAATATAGTACAGTTTTATTGATTTGAATGTCAATTTCGATGCACTTTGACATTCTTGTATTTATGTACTCGAGATACTAAGGATCGATAGAGGAATGAAGATTTTATTTAGAAACTGATATTTCTTATTATCTTTATGATCAGAAAATACATAAGATGTATTAAAAGTCTATTAATTAATTATTTTAAATTTTATTAAATAATTAATTAAACCAGTTAAATGATGAGTTACTGATATACATAAACGAGAGATGAAAAAATGTTGATTAAAGAATATTTACCTTGAGAATGAAGCAATAAACATTCTATTGGATTTTTAAATTAAAAAGAAATTAAATATGCTAAAAAGTAGATTTCTTTATGTTATTAAAATATTATACAAAACACGAAAAAAATTATCAGCTATTTAGACTAGAGATATAGATCGTAGAAAAAGGTAACATAAATACAAGATGCTGGCATGTAATTTACAGATAAATTTTAATGACTTGCTAATATTGCTAAGCAAATGTCAAAAGTGCAAAATGTCTAATTATAAATATTATTTAAATGATGAAAATGAATGAAAATATATTCAATAAAAATCACTAAATTGAATTGTATAAAGGAACCAACAGCAAACAACATACTGCTAGCATATCCATTCCAGGATAATCGAGAAAAAGAAATAATTATTCATCAATAAAAAAAACTATTTAAAAATGAATGATATTAAGTATATATTCTTCAACTATGAATGGGTATGTTTGAGCTCAGACTAATGATGAAGTATTTCATTTCATTTATAATCATATAGAGACTCTTTTCTAGCAAAGGCTTGATGAACAGCAAATATCTAGGAGTTTTATTCTTTAAATTTCACAATTCTAAATTTTTTAAATAAACCAGTTTAAATGATAATTGAAAAAGTAATTATAAAAAAAAAAATAAATACAAATTATAAATGATTTTAAACAAAAATTATTATGGACAAAAAATTGATGAGTTTTTTAATAAACACTCACTGTATAATAATAGTGTTGTCTATTTAATAGAAGAAAAATATTCGACAAAAAAAATAAAACAGATGAAAGCCTGGGCAAGAAATGTAAATTAAAATTCGTATCAAAGGTATTAATTATTAATTGTAATAATAATACTTAAAGTAATAATAAAACTAGAAATAATAACATTAATTAATAAACTATTAAAGTTTAATAAAAACTATTAATATAAATAAACCAAAAACAATTAAGTCGGAATGGCACTCTTTCTTAGGTATGTACCGTACTTTATGTACACACGGATTAGATAAAAATGACTAAATAAGCAATAATTGCATAAATAAAATTAAAAAAAAAATAGGCATTTGCGTCAATGATTGATATATGAAATATACATTGACACATTTCTAGATAGAGCCTTAAGAAATTTCGATCAGTTCATTAAGCAAGTGATCACAATAAAAATAATTGTCAAATATATAAGTTCACTGCCATTCAAATGACTTGCGCTTGAATTAAAAGCGCCAAATATTCCAAATGTGAATGTGTACAGTTATGTTAATGTACTTATAGTCATATTTACATGATAAATAATAATATTAATTAATATAATAATAATAACATTATTAATTATGAGTATTATGTAAAACTAAATTCACTTAGTTATTAATGATAACTAAAATGATAAAAAAAAAATGATAAAGGGCAGAATAATAATGGTATTGATATTTAGGATTAATTATTATTACAAGTTAAACAATTACAGAGCTATTATATTAAGAATGAAAATGTTTCTGTTGTGCGCTTTTAGTTTTATTATTGTTTATAGCAAATCATAACGCCGTTATCTGTTTGCCAGAACAATAGAATAATTAATATTTGCTAAATCATATAAGTAATCATTTAATTGTAACATTAAATGTTATAAAACGTTATCCATGTTATAGAGTTTTTTCTATATCTCTATCAACTTTAACAATACCCAATTAACTCACTCTTAACCATTTGTATGCATTTAAATTCAAATAAAATACTTGTAACAAAACAATGAAAAATTGTAATCAATTTGTTTAATTCATCGAATTTATCAATTTTCTGAACTCCAAAGTTAAACACAAATTTATTTGACCATTTTGTCGAAGACAATGGTTATGTTCATAATTAATCATCTTTATAAATGAGTTTAAATTTAATTATAAATTGTTAGAATTAAGAAAGTATATAATGGTTAAGAGATAAAATATTTTAGATGAACAATCGTGTAAATAAAATGTTGACAGCTTTAACGAACTCTTTTGCATATTATTAGATAATTTAATATAACACAAAGAGTTTATACAATTGAACTAGATACATTTTCAATCCATATAAAGCTCTGTGATTATCAAATTAAAGATTAATTAAAGAAATGCGCTGATAGATTGCTAATTATTAGATTCAATTGTGTACAGTGCAAAGTGAAAATTGAATCGAAATCATTATTTAATATCTGAAACACTTAATATAATAGTTAATCAATTAATAAGGTCACAAATATAAATAATGAAAGAAAAACTTGGATTCTATACATGTTTTTGAAGGAAGTTCTGTGGACCAACTTCCGAGAGACATTTTGAAATACAATTCACAATTGTACCGAAATAACTTTCTATATTAATCAGTAGAATCATCTGTTAAACACGTTAGAATCTATGCTAATTTCCTTGGAGAATCTCCGACCCTTCAACTTTATACTATCGTCAATTTTGTTATTCAATGAATAAAGATACATTAAAGGATAAATACATTTGACAAAAATTCATCAACTATATCCTTTGATTCACATATATTTTTAAGAACTCATATTTTTATTAAATTCTATCTAAAAACAAAATAGAAATATAATCAAACTTTTTTTGTTATAAAATCATTTTTATTTTTCATTATAAATTAATTCATTTATTTATAGAAAGCTCCATTTTGATATTAACATCAATCTTTTTTGATATATTAGAGCGTGAAAATTATTTTACAATATTTACCATTAATGGACTTTTAATTCCACAACTTATTAATCTTCCCCATGACATATCGTAATTCATAATTAAATCAGTAATTTTCAAGGTTTGCATTCTTGATGATATGCCTCTAAGGTACGAAAGTCTCGCCAAGTGGGTGGTAGTGCACTATGTAAATGTAGTCCACATCTTTTACAAGGCTCACTGAATAAATTATGAAAACTCCCAAACCACGTCTGTAAAATTCCACAGACAATTACGAATAATTCATTTGCTTTATTCTTACTCAATTTTACTTATAACATGAAATAAAAATTTAATTGACAATTCAATTATTTATTATACACTTACCATGAAAGATCTCACTGCTAATTCAGGTAGTGCAGGTGAGTGAAAATGCAGCATAGCAGCGTGAGCGTTTTCAGTTACTTTACGAAATACTTTATGTCTTGACTCTGTCCAGAGATCCATCGTCTCACCATATCCTTTCACGATTACCCACTCGACCATTAATCCCTTAAATGCAATTGCTCCTTTTAAAACGTGGCCGAGTGTTACTTGCAAAACAGGATTGGTAGCGAAAGGACGAGATACTGTTACAGTCATTTCATTGTAGAGACGATCTAAAGTAGCTATCATAGAATCAACTTGCCTAAAAACAATAAATGAAGTTTTGTCTAAATGATTGAAAATTTTTTTTAGACAGCAGAAAATGGTAAAAAGCTTACTGAGGCGAAACATTATGGGTACTAGTTTGGATACGTCCTCTCTTCGATCTACTAGTATTTATGTAAGATCTTTTTAAAGAATTCTGACCGAGAAGAGTTTGAATTATGTGACTGTATTCATGAATTCTATCGGTCCACTTGTGACTGTTTACTAAAGTGCTATACAGAGCTTGTCGATCTTGAGTAGTTTCTTGACTTAAGTAAGTTGTGTTTGCTAAATTAAATGGTCCTGGCGGCGGGTTCAAAGTACTTACAGCTTGTTCAACCTCTCTGGGAAAATAAGAATCAATAATAATGCTATGTTTTAGTCATTTTTACTTATTAATACATGGATGTTGGTGTTCAATACAATATAAACCAATGAGTTATGACCAATTGATGCCAAAAATTGGTACGGTAAAATTATTAAAATAATAAATTACCTTAAATTTACATTCACAGCAGTTAAGAGTTCTTGGAGCTCACATAAATATTTGGATTCTTTATTTTCTTCACCATGATCTGCTCTTATTCCATTAGCAAGGGATTCAAACACTTGGCCAACGCTTGATCGTAAAACTTTTGTGGCAATCAAAGCAGTTTGTAATTGTTCCATTTTGGATTTCTTATCACTATTAATAATTTATAACAATTTACAAATCATAAAATGAATATTTAACTATTTATTTGGTCAAATAAAAACGCAACGTATGCGATTTGTTTAGATGTTTGTCTAAAAGCTGAGGTTAGGTTCATTATTTACATCAGCCGCAAATCTGCAGATGGCGCATCACATTCCCACAATCCCGCGAAATACTTGAATGTAGGAATGTAGCTCTCTTATTTTTATTTTGAAAAAATTATTAAATATGTATATATTTGAATTCATTTTATCATTTAAATGAAATTTAAAATTTAACTCATACGATTTATCGCTGCTTTTTAAAATTTAATTCCAGTGTTATTGTATTTACGAGTATCTGATTATCATTACTATTAAAAATGGCTCAAGAAGGTAATAATAACTGTTCACAAAAATTAATTGATGAAGAGAAAAATACTCATAACCAGTTACAAGAAATAAACCGAATAGAAGAGATAATAAAAGTTACAAAATTAGTAGAAAAACCTAAAGTTTTAAAGTTAAAAGATACGTGAGTATATAAGATTTAACGAAAGAAAATAAATTCAAATATTATTTATCAGTTATTAATAATATTTACAACTATCAATAATATGATTGAATTTTTATTTTATTCATAAATTAATGCAAGTATAAATAATGATTATAGTGTAAAAAAAGCAAAAGGAAAATACACCTTGAGAGCAGATACACAAAAAAGAAGGACTAAATTCAATACCACACAATCTACATCAAAACAAGTAATGATTCCAAGAATACCACGAAAAGTCCTTCGAATATTATACTTTTTACGCCACAAAAGTTTCTTAAAATTGGTTTCAAAATTTTTCAATCCTTCACCTAAAAAACATTCAACTTTGCTTTATAATAAAAAACTTTCTACTAATAGAACAAAACATTTCAATGATAAAATTAATACCATCAATAATAAAAATAATTTTAAATAATACATAACTATAATGAACAAAATAACTATGTAAAGATATAAAAATAAATTTGATAATTAGTATAAAAAAGATATTTAATAATATTCTTTTGAATCACAGAGAGTTTATGGTTTTTTTTTATATATTAACAGTTAGGAGAGTCTTGACAATTTGTTCCAGTAATAAAACGAATGAATAATTATGTGATTTGTTATTTTAAATTTAAATGAATATAAAAAATTCGTCAATAAAATAAACATTTTATAAAAAAATAAGATACATTAACAAGTAAAAATATAACTTATTTTAAAATCGTAGAAGTATATTTTAAAAAATTAACTATTCTCTAAAAATATAATGTACAATTTTTGCCAATTATATTTAGCTTCTTTAAAACATTAATTGAAATGTCTTCAGAGAAGTTAACTTGGACTGTAATGAGAAACTGAGACACTCACAAATATAATTAGTTTACAGTTGCATCAAATAACTAGAGTTTACTCTCATAATCGTCTACAACCAAACCAGGATTTGAAGCAGCCCATTTCTCTTTAGACACCGACTTGTCTTTATTCGGCTTGCTATTCAGACTTTGAATACCCGCATAGTGGTCCTCAATCTCTTTGAGTGTTCTTCCCTCAGTTTCGGGTAGTAAGTAGTAAAGAGCAATATACCCAGCAATATTAACACTGGCGTAAAAGAGGAACGTGCCTAAGAGACTCATCAAATCTACCATGTAGAGGAATATTTTGTTGGCAACTGATGAAAAGATGTAAGCTGTTGTAGCTGCCGCTCCAGTAGCTGTGCTTCGACCCTATTAATATCAAAATATCATTTTGTTTATTATTACAAATATATATTTAAAAGAAAAAAAAAATTATAATTCAACAGTTAAAATGAAAATGTTGAGAAAACATGATAAATCATAGTTTAGATAATAAAATTAGTTTTATTTTTATCTATGATATTTGTGACATTAGTATTCACGAGTTTAACAGAAAAGCAACTTGCCTAACATTTTTATGAGAAAATTAAATTAAAATCACGCCTTTATACAATGATTTATGTGACAGTTGATTGTTGCTTATTATTATAGCTTTTTTGCTGCAGCCTTTATTTCAAAACATTTTAATAAATTCTTTGAGCAATTTAGACATAAAAACTGATTTGAAACTTACATATTACCAACAATTTAGCTGAGAAAATATTAATGTAATTACGTAGAAGATATTTAATTTTAAAAAAAGGATGATAATCATCTACAACATTGAGAATAAGTAAAATAGAGGTAATTTTTGAAAGCATTTAATAGGAACCAGTCTTATGTATTCAAAGTATTTTAAATAGTGAAAAAAAAAATAATAATTGTGTGTTAAATTTACCTTCGAAGGAAACACTTCTCCACATAGTATCCAAGGAAGTAATTTAATTCCCATGTGTGAGAAAAATGCTGCACCAATGAGGAGAGCAGTTGGAATCCAAGTATAATTAACACCGTCAATGAATTCAAATTGTATGAGATAACCATAAACTGCACTGCCAAGAAAACAAACTCCTGTTCCACTAATTGATGCAAAGGTAATCTTCCGTTTTCCCGTAAAGTGAATAGCAAACACACAAACTGCTGTACCAATAATTTCAGCAATGCCAAGGAATACAGTTGCTGTGTACTTGTTCAACGGTGCTTCCATGCGAGCAAAGATGTAGACGGCAAATGTTTGAAGAGTTGCTGTACCACCAAATGTTGCGACAAAAAATGATAAGCTTACGAGAATAAAGGGAGATATAAATGTCTTTTTCCCGAATATCCTCCAGCAGCTTTGTTTTTCTTCATTATCAAGTGGTCGTTTCACTACTTGACAGACTGTTGCAAATTCTTCACGAACTTGAGACGGTTTTACCCATCCTCTTAGCCAGCATAATGATTTTTCTGCATCTTCTAGACGATCTTTTCCTAAAATATTCATCGGTAATTAGTTCATTTATTAATTATCAATAGTTAGAAATAGTCGTAGAGAGTTTTAAGAATCAATGTTTAGAAATGTTGACATAAATTATATTCTTTTTAGTTTAATTTATACAAGAATGTTTTTTAAACCATGCTAATAAATTATTCAAGTCAATGTCAGCAAAAAAAAATGTGAATAAAAAAAAAGAAAAAGAAAGTTGGTTCAATAAGTACTTTTAACACTATTTTAAATACTACTTTCTAGGAATTAATGCATAATAAATTACCTGCTAGCCAGTAAGGACTTTCCGGCATCATACAGAGAGCAACAAAACACATGACAGGATAGGTCAAATTAATTAATGCAACTGTCCTCCAGTCCGTAAGACTGCCAGTTAATAGTTGTGTAAAAACACCAACGATCACGGCCATCGACGCGGTCGCAGAAAGCATTCCACGAAGGTGTGGTTGCGTCACTTCAGCAACATACGTCAACACTGGAGCTTCGCAAAGACCACCTGTTAGGCCTGTCAAAGCTAGAGCCATGAAGATGTATGGTGCCGAGGTGGCAAAGTATAATATTATCCAGGCAGTGATAAAGGGGATGTTTGCTATTAGCATTGTTCGCTTTCGTCCTAGGTAATGAGAAATTGGTCCACTTATTATACATCCTAGAGGCACCATAAATAAGTTGATGCTACCTGGAAGTCAAATTTTAAAAGTTTATTGAATTTTTGATTTTAGAAATAAAAAGTTAAGAAGAAAAAACTTGAAGAATAGATTTATAAGAAGATCTGTGGGAAAACTTACTGATCCACGTAATTTCTTCACGAGTTACTGCTACATCTGGATTTTCTTTTTGCAAAGCTGGTAAAAGGATTGTTGAGAAACCCAAAGTTGTTCCAAAAGTCAAAAGAAGAAGATTTTTTGCACTTACTGCACATACTTGTGGGAATGCTACTCTTAGTTTAGAAACTTCCTTCTTTTCTGTTGAGTAACCATTTGTATCTAACGACGAGTTTATTTTTCCAATCCTGAAAATTATTAATCATTCTTTTTTATTATCAATCTCAATTATCTATAGATTTTCTTCCTTATAATATAATATCTATAATTATGGCTATATACAATATTATGGGAATGAGTTAGGTAATACTTTTACTTGAAATACAATAACCGATAAACTTTTATGATACCAGAACATCTCAGTGGTCTAATGCTCTCTATTACCTAATTTTTATTTCGATTTAAAATTTCCATTCACTTTACTTATTCTCAAGTTTTGCCTTCACCTACATAGGAGATTATGGCAGTAAGCAGAAGAGACTAGACGTATTGAGGCCTTGTAGAGCATTTTAAGATAGAAAGGGCTGCTTCTAGAAAATTGACTGCTTGGAGTCAGATGCATAAGTCAGTGAGCAAAATACCTCTTCTCATTTCAAATAAACGTCAAGATTTAAATTGATCTGATTTCTTCAAGCATGCTGGTGAATTTAATATTAAATATGATAATTATTATATACATTATTATTACAATGATATCATAATAATATATTCAGTGATAAATTTTCTAAAAAATGAAAGTAAATTGATACTTGGATTATGATATTACAATTTAAAAAAAAAGGTAAATATTAAAGAGTGGAAAATTCCATAACAAAAAATTCTTATAATGAATTTAAATAATTAATTGACTGTATATACAAAGAATATTAATATTGTTTTTCAACGTCAGTATCGTTTATGAAAATACTGAAAGCTTTGAGTAATCTTGATTATCAGAGAAAGGCAGTGCAAAATAAAATGAGATTAATCTTATAAGAGGATTTATGTTTTTCTCATTATGAATTCACGTTTTATTCCACACAACATACTATAAAAATATAGAATTTTCTTCTTATTTTTTCATACATTTAATCCCATTCTGTCACTATGATGCACGAAATTGTCAATTTGATAACTGGACTTTTATTAATAAAAATATTATTTAATGGTTCAACTAATCACGACGTGTGACGTATATAACCGGTTTAGGTTGTATTATGTATCATCTTGATCGAGAAGATTCTTATTGACATTTTCTTATACATAATTTAATTATTGAAATAGTTTATTTAAAATTATTAAAAATCAATAATGTAAAGATTTGAATAATTTTCCTCATGAAAATGACGTTAGAAATTTTTTTTTAAATTCTAAGGATATAAATTATGTCAGGGATTTCCATCAGCAAATGAAACTCTTGCTTTTCTCCTGGACGTAATTGTAGTCAATGAACTTGATCGAGAACATTACTATTAGCCTGAGTTCAATTAAATAATGATTATTGTTTTATAATTGGTAGTATTAAAGTTTTCCTCAAGATTAGTTTTTTTTTTTTTTTAAATCTTTTCTTCGATATAATTAGATCTAGATTTCAATTATCATTTTGTTATTAGCTAATTAGATCAAGTTACCTTCTATATACAGAATGAAATTATAAAATACCAGGACATTTATGAATTTTTTGTATTAATGAAATATTTAGCACATCAAGTTGCACAACCATTTAGAATATGATAATTAAAAAGAATAGTAATTTAATTGTTATTCAATTTTTATCTGTTTCATGATCAGAACAATTAAATGATGATTCAAAATCTAAAATTAAAATTATCTCAATGGAGCCTTTTTAATTCAAGATCTAACATACAAAAAAAAATTGAAACTTTATTTATTCATAAATAATAATATAATATTTAAATATTTTTCTGTACTAATTTACTCATTAATTGAATTCTACTTGAATTTCAAAAACATTTATCTTTGCTCTGACAATTTTTTCGTTTTTTTATGATAATGTATAAGCTTTAGGGGGTATATGAGTTTGCGATATCGAAGAATAAAAATATTGAAACAGTGATAATGAGTATCAGCATCATTAATATGCAAATGAGGGGTAATAATGAGAAAAATGTATATTCCTCGAGTCCAATACAAAGAATTACATTAAAAATTCATCCTATCTTTTCTATTTTGTATAATTTTTGCAAATAAAAATTGAATATTTAAATGAGAATTTTGTACTTGATGAGCGTGCAAATTTAGTCTTTTATTAAATTTACGAATACTTTTAAATACTTTTATAAAATATATTTTTTTTCAATTCTACTAAAATCATGAATATTCAATAAATTTTGTATAATGATATTTAATAAGTTTATAAAATAAAAGAAGGTCAAATTATTATAAACATCATAGAACTAAATTAAGGATGTTATAATAAAATATAATTGACAATACTCGTAATGGCGATTATTCCTCAAGAATTCATCGAAGCAATAAATTCACTATAATCATCTTATTCTACTATATAAAACGGTAAAGTAATTATGTTCCATAACACGAATAACAATTACTACAATGTTTTCAATTTTTACAAAATATCCATTATGTTCATACACTGTCATCGTTACAATTATCTAATTTTTTTCAGTTAAACTTATTAAAAAGCATATTAAAAATTCCAATGACAAATATTATGTGTTATATTATATTCAAATAAAAAAACAGAGTAATAAAAAGAAATATTTTAATAATTAATTATTTTTAAAAAATGATCTTTAGTTGCACGGAAATTTATTAGACTTGGATAAATGAATAGTCAATTAATTGAAGAGAAAATTACTAGTATTTGTGCATTGCATAAAATTAAAATGAAAGTTATTTATGGTAATTTTCTTCAGTACATGTATTAAAAGCGTTATTTTATTGCAATCGAAATTTATTAGATAGTAAATAATGTTGTGTTCATGTTCTGAAGTGATGCGACTCGTTATTGAAACATTAAATGCTCTATGCCAATTTATAGCTGAATAATCGCTCAATATAAAATGACAAAAAAATTTTTTTACTAAAAGAATTCAATTTTTTTTTCTGACGTCATATGTAAGTGAAGTATTCTTTTACATTGTGAGCAATACCTGTTGTTATTTATCGTGATTGTCATACAGATATAATTATTATCGTGTTAAACAAAAGATCATTAATTAGACTAATTTTACCATAAAATGTTCCCGTCATTTTTATCTAAATATTTTTGCATAAAGGTTCTTTATAAAGAGAGAATCTTTTTCTTATTATAAGTTAAAAAGTTAAAAAGTACTCGTGCATGTTTTCAAACTAAGAAGTAAAAATATTTCTGTTCAGCAGTGAATTTTAATTTCTCGTAAGTAAATTTAATGACTTTCTAAGCGTCGTAGAAAAAATTACTTCTGAAAAATCAAGTTCATTGTTGAATAAAAATATTTTTACATCCATGATTAAAAATGTGCAGGAATCATTTGTTTATTTATGATTGAAAAAAAAAACTTTTCTCTGAACATAATAAACATTTAAAGTGCTGATAACGAATTCAAAGGCATTTTTACTAAATAACTTTTTAAACTCAAGTATAAATCAATTAAACTTATCCTAAATACTCTCTCATGTAATATGTGTAACACGCAGGTACAATTGAATTTCCGCTCTTATTCAATTTTAAGTATATATCTGAATCACGACACTCAAGATGACCTGAAAATAGTTACGTGTTAGTATGTATATACAATATGAACACATGACAAATACTAATAAAGTAAGACTTTCACTGGCCAAAGTATTACACCATAAATAACTAATTATTTTGATACTTTGACTCTTATGTGATTTTATTTTCAATCAATAAACGCCACTTTCCCTATGTTTGTTATAAAAATACATTTTTTACTGTTTTTCGTTGTCATAACACTTTCATTTTGCATCAATAATAAATCGAGCAATAAATTATCAATAATTATCAAATAAAACACTTGATAAATCATAATTATTTTTTTCCGGCAAGATTATTTTCTAAATGATTTATAAATGAAATATATCCATTTTTCATAAAAAAATTTGAAACTTAGTAAGATGTTTACTTTTTCATTTATTGGAGTACTTATTTAACATATTCTCACCTTGCTTCAACTTCTGGAAGGTCCTGAGTCATGATGAAATTAATTAAAACTCACTTTCAATTAAAAAATAATTCTTGTAGAGTTTTTAAATTAAAACTGTTTTAAACTTAAAGTCTTGGGTTAGTTACATCAGTTAATATCCCTTTCATATGCTAGAGACACAAAAGAGTGTAATTGTTACCGGTACATTCCCAAAGCACATGTAGACTCGTGATGATCTCGCGACTATTATGCGACATCTCCACAATGTCTGTATATTTAATGTTTTTGTCGTCAGCACAGAACCGATTTTATTATTGCAAACCAGAATACACACTTGTGTATAACTATTATGTTGCTGGTTGTACAACCAAAGCCACGGGCATTTGTACTTTCAGTCTCTCCCTCCAACTTGTTGATGATCCCACCTCCTTCTTTTATTTACCAATTCTGTTTTTGTATTTTTCTATTCATCATTTCGAACCACATTTTTCACTGCCACGTAAAGTGCGAAATCTTATTGCTCTGCTCTTAATCTTGTCAACTAATCCATCAATCAGTGAAATCTGTAATGATCTTAGCAGACTAATAAAAATATTTTCTTCTGCTTTATCAAGTCATAATCCATGAAAGTAAATCTTCCAAAGTGTTTAAGATCACTTCACCATTTTTATTTTCCTGCTAAAAAATTACATTAAAGTATCATACAAAATTATATTTAAATATATTGAGTAATAATATTTGATAAGATTGTACCTTTTATTTGATTTTGGTATTAAATAAATGTTTCAATGATGATTTTATCTAAAAAAAAGTAAGCCAGAAGATATAAATAAATGTATCAGCTAAATACACAGAGCATTTTCCTGAAAAAATTATCCTTGAGAACAAAATTAAATTAATTATTTTATTTATTCAGAACTCTTTAGAGCTTGTTCTGGAGCTGTACTTGGAGAAAAATTTTATTTCTTTTTCAAAGTTGAAGAAAAATATTTTTTAAAACTAGTAGTACCTGTGAAAAATCTTCTGTAATTAATATCTATAATTTTTACAAAGTATTTAGTAATTAATAATAATAATTATTAATTTCTCTTTCGTTCTTGTAACTCATAAGATAAAAGAACTTAAAAAATCCTTTTTTTTTATACATGAAATTAAATAAATTTACAATATGCAGATATGACTATGCAAAGAGTCAATTGTATATAAGATTTTTGAATAATTAAACATCTTAAAGTATTATTTATTTGGATTATTTCCAATAGATTAGTAAGAAATAAAAATCCTTTTCTTCCAAGTACCGATTAAAAAATTTGTGAACGTATGACAACTTATACTATAAAATTATTCAATAATATACATAACAATTAATAACAATATGTGTTCAGTTTTAACATGTTTGAACTTACAAATAGCGATAATTATTAGTCCTTAAATTATCTCAATTGTTTAGTAGCTCGAGTTAACTCGGTTTAGTCTTCTTTTTACATGAGAGCAAAAAGTACTTTAAAAATTATTCAATAATTTCTAAGGTAAATAAAATTAGTCTATAATTGTAGGATAATATAAATCGAAAAGTGGAAATAAGATAATTAATGACTGATTAATTGTCTTGGATGATTAATCCATGTAAATAATACCTCGGATAACAGTATTGTGATTTTAAAAAAACTGTGTAAATGTGTCAAGGAAATATATATATATAATTCATCCGAGTACTATTTTATTATACTTGTGGAAAGTATAAGTCTCTGAATTTTAAATTTAAATAGAAAAAAAAAATATCTGTATATTAGAAATTAACACACATTTTAAATTTACTTTCTATCTCTAATACTACAGTTGTAGAAAAAGATTGTCATCGAAACTTTACATGTAATGAGAAAACTAATAAAATAGTATCAGAAATTAATGATTGATTCTTAAACAATTAATATTTTATTCACAATTACCTCGATATTCTAACATCATATTAATCACAACCAATCGTAAAGTGATGATAAATAATCCATTAAATGATGATAGCCGCGATGATTTTTCTAATCACTAAGAATGATTTCCGAGTATATTAATATCACAAATATATTATGGTAAAAAATATGGTGATTAATGAACTATTGCTAAAATAAAAATTAATCATAACAAAAGTCTGCAGTAAATTTTTTTATCTGATCATAATTTATTATTAAATAATAAATATAAAAGTCATGTGGTTTGGATGTTTACATGCTGATTAATGGATCAATAATGAACTGTCAATTGATTATTATGACTAAATATTATCAAAAGCAATTTTCCTTATTGCATACATAATTATTCAAAAAATAAATTTCTATTTTATTGGTTACCTAGCAATTCTGAACATTCTAAAAGTAATTCATTGGTATATCGATTAATGACACAATTATCATGATGTCTAAATATTTCAAGACTTTATAAATTTATTTTAGTACTGTAAATTGTTATCAATTAGAATAAAGAATTGATATATAAAAATATATGCCATAAATTTGACAATTTAAAGAATAGTTAAGTCTTATACTTTGATAAATACTTCAATAAGACTTATAGTAATTAAAATTATCATTACTGCTAGTTAATAATGATTTCTATATTTATAAAAAATAAATATTATTATTTAGACCAATGAAAGCTATATTATTCAGATAAAAAAATTTCATTATTCTATAATTCCTTTCACAAATTTTCTATTTAGCAGAATACGTTCTGTCGAAAATAAAAATTTTAATTACGTTAGAATAAATATAAAAACATGTCAATAATTATTTTATATAATTTAACTATGTATTTTAATTATAATAAAAAATTTATTCATAAAATTTATATTATAAACTAAACGTACAAATTTTTTCTTGTCGTAGAAAAATCTATGAAAGGACTTTTATATAACAGATATTATAATATCATTTTTAACATGATTAATGGTTAATAAATTTTGATTAATTGATAATGCTATTAATTGATACACCATCGAGATATATTCAATTTATCTGATGTGAGGATAACGAATAAAATAGTTTAATAGTTCACAATTATATTACATAGTTCTTCTACTTTTTATACATCCTCATTCATCGAATATGATTCATTGATAAAGCTAAGGACAATTATGATGGACGTAATGAAGGCACTCAAAACATTGCAGGACAATTTTAATGTTTGTTAGTCCAATTGCACCGTTTCTATAAATGTATATATTTCAATAGGTGAACGATAATTTTTTTTTCTTTAAACCTATACAACGAAAATAATTTTGAAATAATATATAGTATTCTGAATATTGTAATTTATCAAATAGACTATTTAAAAATATAATGATAGATTAACTATTAGTCATTAGTTATTAAATTGATTTTGTTAATTTACTTAAAAGATTTTTATAAACGTTATAACCAGCCTCATTGTGTCAAGTAAATTCATCACTATATACAAATATTATTTTCAACTTTTGTTTCTTCAAATAACTTTCTACGTGTTGAAAGATTGTAGCACAGCCATTCGACGAGTATAAATTAATCATCTCGCCATAACTCATTAACTGTACGCGAAAAAATGATAATGTTGTGAAAAACTTCAGTGCTTATAATGATGTCTGATTTATGATGAAAAATAACAAGTCAAAAAATGTGGCATTCATTTTAACATGAGTTTACGATGAAAGATTTCTCGTCAAGTAACTATTTTTTTTGTTAAGATATATAGTCACGTAGAATAAAAAAATTTGATTGATATTCACTATATACATAATAATAGATAAATAATGAGTTCAGTCTAATTTATCAGAAACTAGTGGAAATCTAACAATACACAATTGTCGACCAAAGTCACAGACAATGCTATCCCTTAATGCAAGCATCTGTTTCACATAGACACAACTGTCTTTATGTCCTAATCGCACTTCCCTCATAGGTTCACCAGTTCTCACATCCCAAACAACTAAAGAACCCTGGTAAAGAAATTATTAATTATTAATTTCAGGATTAATTTCTTAATTAATTAATTTGAAATTGATTAGAATAATGATGAGTTCAATAAAATAAATTGTATCTAGTTTAAGAAGAAATTTCAGATAATTCTTTCAAACTTAAAATTGAAAAAAAAAAAATGATATATGATTCTGCAGATGTTTAGGTATTCATGAATAATAAAAATAGCATACCTGATTGCTTGTAATGAGTAGTTGATGTGTTAGCATGACTAATTGTAAACTGTAAGCAGCTCGATGTGCAGGTAAAGTGTGTAAAAGATGTCCCTGAAAACGTTCCCAAACACAAAGTCTTTCATCCGTGCCAATGCTGATAACGTATGATGCAGAACACGTAATTGCAGCTATTGCTCCATCATGTGCTTGTATACTGTATACACATGTACCTGAATGAAAAATGAATAAATTTAACTATTACTAACATGAATACATAAAATTTAAATTTAAAAGGTCGCAATTAATTATGTTTATTAATACAATTGAACAGTGAACCCTATTTATATTTATTTCAATTGATTGTTTTTAATGAATGAATTCAACTTTTAAAACAATTTTAAGATAAAAATGAATGTAGTGAATCTATTTAAAATTAAAAAATTTTACATACCATTTAATAAATCCCAAACGCACAGTAGACCATCTTGAGAACCACTGCCAGATGTCATCGGACTTATTCTATCGATAAATAGGCATGATATTGGTCCACAATGACCATGTAAAGTATAAAGTGGAAGTTGATCTTCTAATCTAAAGACCTTAAGAGTATGATCTTGACTTCCAGTTAATACTCGACCACCTTCGCTGTCGAGAACAGTAATTGCTTGTTGGTGTGCTCGGTGAGAGCCTTTTTTAATGCAACGTAAGTCTTCTTTTGCTGGTGGTAAATTATTTATATCCATTGGAGAACCAGCACTACCAGTTCTTACATGGGTCCTTCGACCCGATGTAAAACCCCATCCAATTTGATGACCTTCACTATGTCGTTCTAATTCTAAAAAGTCTACAGAACCATTTAACTTGGCTGCTATAACTCTATTATAAACTAATTTCACTGCAGATATACCCAAGCCCGAGCCATCATCAAAAAAGCATTTAAAGCTACCTGTAGTACCTTCCCAAAATTCGAGAACGCCATTAGCACATCCAACAACTAAAATATTCTCTTGATAATCTACACACCATATTGGTGCAATATTGGATTGTAAAGTTCTGTTAGTATTCAAAGAGTTGGCACTATCTGTGAGATCATGATTATTTAATCTTCCTGAGCTTCTATTCAAATATTCACTGCTTTCACACTTGTGAATATCATCGGAATTTTTAGCATACTGATCAAAAAGTTTCTTATAATCGTTTCCAAAATCAAAACCATTTTCGAAACTCATTTGTTTAGGAACATAAGTAGATGCAGAAAACTTGGTGTTGATCAATGGACGTAAATCAGGAAAATCAAAGGTATAGTTGGAATTTTTTATCGATAATTTTCTTCTTTCATTTGAATATTCATTGATTTGATAATCATAGTCTAATGAATTGATAGAAAACCGTTTTTTTGATTGCTCCATTCGTTGATAATTGTTAGATCCTGGTGATGATTTCTGTTGATTTGCTGGTGATGTAGAAAATAAACCAAATGAGTTGGTAGCATCAATTTCACCTCTAGATGGTGGAGATCCACTTTCATAATCAGACATTAACTCATCAGGGTCCGGAGTCGTATTAATTAAATCTCTCTTGGGGCTGCTGAAGAATTTTTTTCTATCTATGTGAGCTAACATATCTCCGGTAGTTGAATCCCAAATTTTAATATGTCCTGCTAAGCAAGTACTGGCTATCGTGTTTCCATCTGTTGCAAGGCATTCAATTTCTTGTGAGTGGCCTTCTAAAACTAGAGGCAAAGCTTCTAGAACTAACTGCGTTGATGAGTCCTGTGTCTTCTCTTGTTGATGCCAGCTTGCTCGCCACTCTGCATAATTCCTGGTACAAATGCACCGGTATAACACGACCATTGTGTAAGCAACGACGATGACGCTGATTAAACAGAGCACGGCTGCTAAGAATATTTCCATGGGACTAGATGGCACGAATGGAGCGTCTGTATTAAATCCACGGCTCTCTGACCTTGTTGGCACTTCTATGTCTGAAATTTAAAAGTAAATATGCTAATTAAAATAATTCAAAGATAATTATTTTCAATAAGAGAATATTTTTTTACTAATGTCATTAGCATAGAATAAATTATTAAAAAGATCCTTTAAATTACTTCCATTCGATTAAATAGTTGATGGATAGTTAAATTTGATTCAAGAGAATATTAATACAAACCTGAAAAATCTAATGGATCAAGAGCAGCGGTAGCCAAACTCTGCCATTGGAATTGTTGCACATCATTGGGATTACTAAGTTGCCGAGCTACCTGAGGACTAACCGCATGTGCAATTTTTATTGTCGGAAGGATCGTTATATGTTGTCCAGCAATAGAAATATTATACATGGCGAGTATTGATGACCAATGATACAAAGATAGACGATTCCATGGTGGAAAATCGACAGGTTTCAATTTATTCAATTCTTCCGCTACATTATTTATGGTATGAACCTGTTCCTTTAGCACATTTGGCATATTTGTTGATGTGGATGTCACTTGTGGTGATATAAATTTTGTTGTCTTCAAATCAACATAACTCTTCAATGTCCTCGGCCTGTCAACTGTATATCCGTACATTTCAGAATCCGTTTTCAATGTATCACTCAAGTGGATTAAATGTTCAATAATGCCAGAATTATAAATGATCATGCTAATCCATACGACCATCCATACCATAAAAGCACGTTGGAAAATTCGTGTTCTCGCCCAGAAGTGAACTAATCTGAGTCGTTTTGGAATTTTTACCAATGTATAGGTATTTTGTGACGTTGGTGCTATGACATTTGTTGGTCCCATTGTCATACCATTCAATCTGGGATGTGATTTCGATCGAAATATATTTGGTTTTTTACTAGGAATTGTAGGAGAAAAGTGTTGCTTTCGCATTGACGGCACGTTTGTAAAATGAAACTTGGAACTATCGCTAGAAAATTCAGTTCTTCGAATGTCTACTGCTAGAATTGTTGAAAAAAATACCATTTGCAGAAAAAAATCATTCAAAAGACCAACAATAGCAAAGATACAAAATTCTTGAATTGCAGGTACAAACGTAAATAATCCTATTGTAAGGATGGTGACTTCAGTAAGTAAATTTTTCGTTATAGACCACCCTTCTTTAGATAATCCCTGAGCAACACGGATTTTTACATCCAAGTGTGCTGGTGTACTTACGACACTTTTTGTCAATATCAGTACATTTTCTAATCCAACAATTACTACTAGATACGGAAAAACATCTTTGCCACTTAGACTTAATGTTAATCCAAAAAAAAAACATATTCCAACGGTCATTGAAAGTGATGATATCACAGCGAATGTAGCACTAAATGCTACTCCGATCTTAGACTTAATCAGTTCTATTTTTCTGACTGAAAAATACATGTAAAAAAATAAAGCAACGAACGTCATCATAAGAGGGAAAAAGTCATTGTAGTTGAATTCACCAGGATAAAATATATGTAATGTTTCGTCTGTCGGAATTGTACTTGTGGTATTTGTGTCTTGCGGTTGATGGAGAGAATAAAATGTTGTCAGACGATTTTTAAGTCCATTAATGAACCTGAAAAAATATAAAAAATGTATCATTTATTTAGTCTAATGAATATTTCTTGAGAACATATATTCTAGATAGAAACATTGCCATAGATATTTTATTATAAAAATTCTATTGATTTAATATTTCATTTACCTAGGATTATATTCTTTCAGAAATACAGTCACTGCATATTGTAAAATCCTTTGCCGAACACGAACAGGATATCTTCTAACTCCTGTTTCTTTTAAATTCATTCCAAAAACGATTTCGGCAAGACTTATTTTACCTTTTTGAAGATTCTATAAACAGAAACAATCATCAGATATTACTTTTTTTCTAAGAGAAATATTAACTGATTTTAGAAAAAACATTAATCACTGAGATAATTATTACCTGATAAGAGAAGATTTTTCCTATGAGATCATTGTCACGATTAAACATTTCAATACTTTGTTGCCATACATTAGCAGGAGATAGAACTAAACAATTATATTCAGGCAAAATTTCTGATTTTTTTGAATTTTCTTTTTTTATAGCTTCCACATGAAGACATACTTGACCAAGTGATTGTGACCTACAGCATGAACAAGTTAATTAAAGATTCATAAAAGCGGAAATTAGTATGATTCATTAAATTATGAATGTGTAAATATTACGTACGTTTCAGGGTCTTGATAATTCTGAATAATTTCTAATAAATTAAACACTTCGTATAACGGTCCCCTGAATGCATCAGCGAGTGTTAAATCCTCTGCCCAAGGAACTACTCCAACTCTCAGGGTTACCTGTTGTATATATAGTGCTGGACTTTCCGAACCATTTGAAGGCACAACAGTCTGATTTATTACAAATTTTGGTACATTGCCAGGCATTGGCAAATTTACCAAAGGATAACTGTAAATAAATAATGGTAAAATATCCAAAATTAGTTTCCTACAGCATTAATAATGATAATTTTATTAATCATTGAATAAAATTTAATAAATAAATATTAAATTAATTTCTAATAACAAAAATAATGCTGAAAACACAGTTAGATAATGATTACATTTGGTAATTGAAGAATTCAGTGATTAATTTTGATTGATTAACAATTAAATAATCTGACAGTAACATACCAACATAGTAAAATGACAGTAATTGCTAGAGAAAGAACTGCAATTGGATGAGATGAACAGAAAAGGCCATGGGCATAATATAGCCCTGCCACTCTATCTGGCAGGCTTCGGGACATTTCGCCTCACGGCCACTTAGCTAACATTTCTCGTTCTATCCAGCCTCACGTATTTTTTTACCTGAAATAAATCGACAATTGCTGAAAATTTTACCAAAATTTCACATTATCAAACTTGTCATAATTAATAAAAAATATTAATTAACAATAGAAAAATACCAAGATGATGAACATTTTGTTTAAATATTATATTCTGACGTAGTTGCATAAAATATAATCATGCACTTATGTTGAATGTATATTTGAGATTGTGATATAATACGTTGAATAAATTTGCAATTTATTCACAAACAACTACCGGGTTTCATCACAGAATTACTAAGACATGTAAACAGGCAATGGACATGGTAAACATGGACGACGTAATATGTACGAAGAAACAAGAAATAACAGATGACCCTAAAGCAAATCACGAATATATAAAATTAGCGACAAGGTCATCGACAGCTAATATACAATTACAATCATAAGATTGGTTGAGCATTCAATCAATTGATAAGTTGATTGTATTTCGAATTCTTGCCACTTCATTCTCAACTCGACAACTTTAATTGATTATTTTCGCTGTTAAAACAACTGTTGAAAATGGATTATTGTTACTTGATATATATATAAGTGAATATTAATTGTAGAACACTTGAAATCACTAAAATAACTTGCTTTCGACGCACTAACTTACGTTGATTTTCGTCGTAATATAAATTTTTAGGTTATGTCTGCAGTGCAGTGCAATTTGTCCCACTTCTTATTGAATTTTACACCAAATGTATTCACAATAGAATGAAAGTTGGTATCATTAAACCAGCTACACGTGTTCGTAAGCATACGGTGATCTTTAACTGTTTTTATTGTTGTTGAAATAATATTTTTTATTTCGTGTAATTAAATATAATTCACAACTGCTCCGTTACGAACGCGTGGACTGAACACTCGCAACAAACGCACACGTTACATCGTCAATGTGCCGGCGATGTTATTAATAATGAAACACAGCATGTGACGATTCATGAGTGCACTGGCCGGTTTCAATTTAACTTGTGAGAGTGCTACAGGCGATCATTGAATTATTTTTAAATGCTTAGGCCGAGCCTTCGCTACTCAGCCAATCGCAAAGTGTGCAAATGTTTCACGTTTCACTTGTCATTACTTAGTTGTCATGTGGAATGCGCATACACGTGGTAGTAATTCAACTACATAATCAAATTTTTTCTCTTTTTTTTTCTTTTTTTTTCTTTCGTTAAAGATAAGCAATTTATTATTTATTATTAATGACACTGACATTTTAAAATTAAAATTCTAATTATTTTCTATTTTTATTTTTGTTTTATGTAATTTGGTGAGTATTTTTTTCAAAATCATGATGTAATATTCTGTATACATTACTTTGTACATTCAGAGTATCAAAGCATATTATGTTGTGAGTCATTTAATTGAATTGAAATCGTCAATTATTATGTTTTTGTGATACATTTTTTATAATAACTAATAGATTGAATTTAGTATTCATTGTTATTTTTTTGTTAATTTTATTAAAATTAATTTCAAATAATTGTCAATTCATAATTTTTTGTCTATGAGTTCAAGGATAACTTTTTTTGCTTATGAATAAATTATAAGTAACAAATTGTTAATAACATTAAAAAAAGTAACATATACTTTGTGTAAATTATGGCTACTGTTTTGCTCATTAAAAAAACGAAACATTTAATTTAAAGATAGAAAAAGTGAACTAATAATATACAGATAACTAAATTTCCTATTCAATTTTCTCTGAAGTCAATCAGTCAAATTTTTTCAATGTCTTTAATGTCTATTTCAAATGTCTAGTGTATAATTTTATTCGTGGAAATGCTTAAACTTTAATCATGCTTTATTAAACTATTGTATATATTATCATTAATTATTCTAAACAGTCTAGCTACTCCAAAGTCACATAAAATACATTCAAAGTGTGTCCATTTTAAGTACGTCAACTTATAGTTGGTTTTTTTTTTTTTGCTATCAACTATGTTACTAACTTAATTATTCGAAAGTGTTGAATTACATTGAAAATAATTCCAACTTTTTCTCTACTCGGTTGAGTAAACAAAAAAAAAAAAAAATTCGAATCATTATTGGATATACATAATTGTCATGCAAATGAGTTGGAACCATTTGGTTGAATGATAAGAATAAGTAGTAAAAGGAATGACGTCAGGAAGACTGTCAGAAAAAAGTTGTTTAAAATTTGTATCGATAAGTACTCTTATCGCTATTCCCAAGTCATCGATAAAACTTGAATTGAATAATAATGTTTACTACTATTATCTAGAATGTAGATGTTTCACATATCTCTTTTTCAATTCAATGTCAATGGAGATAACAAGCTTTTTGAGATGACATTGATATTCCTACAATTTTGTTTTATTATCAAAGTAAATGACTTCAATCATTTCTTCAATTTCCTTGTAATTTATACGTTCAATTACGTCGAAGAAGAAGCAAGTAAAAATCATTCTTCATTTCATAGATATAATAATGAACAGAAAAATCATAATACAATAATATCAAATTTGTGATTACATTTTATGTTATCAATTAATTATTAAAGATGATTGATTATTCAATCATATTTATACATTTTTTTTAGCATGAATATTCATGTTTATTGTGTGATTAAGATAATTTAGTTGAAATATAATTACATTGATTAATTTTATTTTTTATTAAATTTATAATTATACATATTCATCATTCATACATGTATCCATATAGTATAAAAATAATTTAATTTATCAATAAGTTATAATGTTTCTGGAGTTAAATTATCTTACAATTAATAAATAAATACAAGCGTAAATTATATTAAAAATAATATAAGATTTCGAAATAAGAGATAAGCAATATTAAGTTGAATTTCCTGTAATCTTTTTAGTTGCTAATTTAATCAATATAATAAGATTGTTTTTTTTTATTCAAAATATTTTGTTCAATTTATTAATTCTGAATAGAAAAATTTACATAGTTATTATTTGTATGATAGATATAATTAAAAGTTTAGAGTTTATAAAAAAAAAATCCAAGTAATATTATTATAATAAAAGATGTAGTGATGATAAAATAATGTTTTAGTAGAATTTCTTAACACGTGTCTATGTGAAAATTTTTATACATTGTTTTCTAATTTTTTCTTATTACTTAACTTCATAGATAGAATTTTAATTATACGAATAATGTAATGAATTGAAATAGATGATCATAAATTGCCAAAGTCATATCACAGGTCAAAGATTTTCGACGCATATGAACTTTTCTAGAAAACAAAAAAAATTAATTATTCAGACAAATAAATTTCACAAGGTAAATTACAAAAATACAAAAAATTAATTATACTATGGTTTTTGATGAAAATTTTATTGCTTATAAGAATGAATTATTTTGTTTTTATTCAAGCAGAAAATATCTCCATCATTAAATAGATTATCAGTTTCATTACTAGCCGGATATGTTAATGTTAATTTTTATTTTCAATTTTCATTCGAAATGCTTCGATTAATTGATTGTTTCTGTAAATCATGTTTCCAATTGCACGATTATTATGTATAATTGAAGTAATTTTTATTAATTGTTAGTCATTATTAGTCTAGAAAAGTGCTTTTCTGCTCATTGGTACAAGTATGAAATGATATATTCTTTAGCCATATTCTCAATCTTGATATGAGTGATGCTTGTAATTCAAAGATCCAGTTGGCCTTGGAAATTAGAATTTATGTTTGATTGTAACTTTATTGATGATCGAGCATAAAACAGTTACAAAATTACATCAACCCAAATAGAGTTGGATTGCTAATGTTCAGATGGCGACATACGTTTGATAACTGGCTGAAATGAACTTTCTTCTGCATGTGATAACAGGTATCAGAAAGTTTACATCTCTCAATTGAGTATAACTGAATATTTTATGTTCAGTTTATGAGATTTAATAATTTTATCGACGTCAATGAATACATATTTCTGTATGAGAATAAATAAATAGATAAAAAAAAATGAAAGAATATTCGTGGGAAATAAATGAAAATGATATCTAAAATTAAAAAGCTAATGAGACAACATTTTGTTCTGTAAAACGAATATTTAGAGTTTATTCAATTTTTTATAACTCGCTTTACATTTTTATTTTATCATTTTGTCATGATAATACTTTCAATTACAAGAATTATTTTTTAATTCAATGAAAGTACTTTAAACATTGTTAATGGGAAGTTTAAATATAAATTAGAGATGAAAATTATCCAGAGGATTTTATTCAAAATTATTCAAATACATAATTTTATTTAAAACTTGAAAAAACTATAGACATTTTATCATTAAAATTTGTAATCGAATAATTTATTTTTTTCTTTAATTATAATTAAAAATGTTGAATATTCATCAAAGTTGCAATGGATATATTTATTTTCATTAAACTAACATTACTAATAGATTAATTCTAGATTCCTACTAGACTATTTATGAAACCAATTAATAAATCAAAAAATAGATAGTTTTTATCATTCACTTTTTCAGGTATTGTGTACACAATCAGCAAACAAATGAGCTCATTAATACCAAAAAGACGTCAGTAATAGCCTTTAAACTTTCTATATTTATCAACACAGTCATTTAAATCTCCATATCTCATGTTTTTGAACATCCTTATACATATTGCAATAACAAAAATGGAAAAAAAGCATTGAATCGAAAATTTCCAGTTATGACTTTAAAAAAAGTTGTTAAAAAATTTTAATAACGAAAAATTAATTAAGTGTGGTAGTGATTAAATTTTTATTCAAGACCACTTTTGCTTTTGACTTTGATCATTGAAGAATTACTATGGTAAACTCTATCATACACGTGCTCAATAACATTGCACAATATTTGACAATGTACAATGGCATTGATCGTCAAGTGAATATATTGAACATTCATGCTACATACTAAATCGATCAAGATTTGTTTACCAGTTATATACGCAATATACGACATATTGGCCAGTATGTAGGTATTATAGCACAATATATCGTTTGAGTTATATTGAGAGAACCGTAGACGTTCAATGAACATTGTACATTGGTATCATACAATGTTATTGATACTTTCCACTGATATTTTGGTGGAAAGATTAAATTAATTAATTAGCAAGATTTTACATGGCTTGTAGTTAGAGTTCATAATAGGTTGGTACAGTTTGCTAAAATTCTATAAACTAGTTAGAAACAAGATGTTTAATTTAATTTCAATAATGTTCAGAGATAAGTTAATAGATTTTAGTAAAATAATCATTTGAAAAAAAAAAAATTATAATGAAGTTTTTGTTTTGAAATAAGATCCCAATGAGACCAATAAATAGCACCCTCAGAGTCGTTATTTCAACGCAAAAAAGAATTCCTAGTTGTTAGTACATTCTGAAATATAACTGATGTATTATCGGACCCTGGTGTATCAATTCATTCTAACTCTCTCTCTAAATTACTATCATTATAACTAATGTCGACAAGTGTTACAATAAATTGAAATAAATTGTATGTCTAGGAAATTTATCAAAGAATTAATATTATCCATTTCCAGTTCGTTTTGAAAAAAAAAATAGATATATCTTTTGGAATCACATTTATAATCATTTTTATTTTAGCTATATTTTTACGAAAAATCATGATTGCCAGATGTTAACATATTGGAATAATTTGAATTCTATCATGAATCAATTTTTCATTTCAATTGCAAATCGACAGAAAGGAACATGCGTCAATTATATTGTATGAAATGCAATCATAAAATATTATTGATCATATAAGGGCGTTTTTATTGAATTATCTGGAAGAACGAACAGTCGATATTGGTATATTGCAGATATTCCTTTCTATCTTTATTAGCTAATATCATCAAAGGTAAATTTCATTACTATTTCATAAGAGCCTTGATAGCAGGTAAAAAGATAGTTTATTATGGAATTAAGTTAATTCTTGATATAAACATAATGGTTCTTTAACGATAGAGTACATTCAAGTAATCGAGAACTAGATCGAGAGAGTGAGATAGATATAATTTAATTATCGTTTATAGCACACAGCGTTTAACCTCATTGCCAGTGGTACTTACCATCTCACTCGCAGATACGAGCTTATTCCAAATTCAATTAAGCTTCGACGAACTCGATATCGTTGCGTACAAGGACGTTAATCGCTATAGGAAAAGGGACTCGAGACTTGTCAGAAACATGGTGTTTGAAATTGACGACAGCTTGTTACAGAGTTATAATTAGATCATCGATAATATCATCAGCTTTCGGTAGTAATCCATGTTGAAACATTAATTATAAAGTTGATCGAGACACTTTGATCAAATTATTTATCTATTAACATTTGATAGTTATCAATAATTCTAGAAATCATACTAAGATCATTGATGAAACATAAAAATAAATATCATTTTTATAAAATAAATTGATAAAAGTAATTTATAATCAAATGTGTAAAATACGATTTGATAGTTTTATTTAATAAATATGGTGTTACATCGAACTCAATCAATGTTGATTAATTACTTTATTTCTTCAACGATACCCTTTATTTTAGAACCTCCAAATGACATTCGTGGATCTATTATGCTCCGAAAATTTTTTGTTAATAAAATGATTTAAGATAGATGATGTTATGCTTAAAAATGATTTTTATTATCATTTTACTGACATTAATGTATGAATTATAATTACATTGATGATAATTGACATACAATGATCGAAAAATGACAATTAAATGAATAATTAATTTAATTAATCGATGAGAGAATATAAAATAATTTAAAAAAAAAAAGAACACAAAAGACCCAAAAATGTTATTTAAGAATGAATTATAAATATAAATCATAAATTGTAATTTATTGACTGCTATGCATAATTGCAAACAGTTAAAATTACAATATATTCATATATTTCTCCAAGTGTACATTTTATATATAATTTTTTGTATTTATAACTATTTATATATTTATAATCATTTATATATATATTTGTTTTATATATAATATATCTCTCTGATTCACTCAATCTCTCAGACTTTTCTAAAGAGCACAAACATTTAATATAATACATTATTTATTATACAAAGACTGTTCTATAATATATATTAAAATATCTGCAATATTTTAAACACTCGTATCGTTTGAACTTTCAAAAATGAATTTAAAAAAGAAATGTAATAAGTTATGTAAGCGAAAAATGAATTATATAGTAGATAGTGAAATATATGAGAGTATTAGTTTGAAAATAAAATAACCGTAACGTGGAAATACATTGTCTGAAATTTGAATCAACGTACAATCGAACAACACAATACAGGTGCAGGATCGACAGTTCATAAATTTTTACAAACTCGGTTCATGTATTTTACGGGGTACACACTTATTCATTTGCTGTCCTGTATTGGCAAAATGTAGTTAGCAAACTACGTAATATGTTCGTTTTCAATATTAATAGCTTTACGTCGTTTATTTAAAACATCAAATCTCTCTGTAATTGATTTTAATCTGTAATAAATTTACTTTTTGATATACAGTGCTTGATTCAACAGTAATAACATCTTTTGTATTCTCAATAATTAAATAGTGTTATCATCTTCATTTAATAATTACAAATAAGAGTACAAATGTATTAAAGTACAGAATAAACAATCATGATTGAGTACAATTATAATGGATTTATTTTACTTATACTAAATTGTTTCATTGAATCATTAGTCAATAAAACAATTATTTGTCAATCCGAAGAATTGAATTTTTTCTAAAATTGCGTTGGAATAAATTAAATGCTAATTGTTTTTGAAAAAATTATAAACATTTATTCACTCATCAGCATTCAATTGAACTATTATTTTATTATTTACAATTATTATCCTTCTGAAATGCACTTTACAAAAGGTCCTTCGCGTTTACATCAAAATTGGAAGAACATTGTGAACGTCGTCACTTTAAATGAATACAAAAATTTGTTTTTGTATAATTTATCTTGGTTTAAGAATGCAGAAATAGGTGTGGTTGTGTATGTGAAATTTATACAAATTTTATTAAATTCATTAATTCTTTATGTATGATCAGAATAATTTTTTTTCTACATGATGACATTGAAAAATTCTACTTTAACTTTAATTGCGTAAAAGCTGCATGATCCTAATTGCAAGATAAATGGAGTCGTTGAAGGCCATTGGAAATATGAAAATAGGTAAAATTTAATTGTTTTTTATGAGAGAATGTTAGGATAATTTTAATCGATTTTACTCAACTTATTAAATATTAATTATTTATTTTTTTTTTTATGTTTCTATATTCTTAATTAATTAATTTTTTTTTTTAACTATTTTTATTTTTTATAATTAAGTCTTTTTTTGCTATTGCCCCGAGATTTTCCAATTATTTTTAATATTTAAACATTTCCTTATTATTATAGTTGTCATTTCATCAATACTTACTTTTTTAATTATTAACTTTTAAATATTTGTTTTCAATTACAATTTTTGATCGTTAATGAAATTATTTAAAATAACATTATATAGAAATTTGAAATAAAAATTTCAAATATACATAAATTCTTTCAACAATTCATAAATTAATTTTTTATAATTTCAATTTTGCAAGTGCAGTCGTCCCAGATTTTCAGAAAATTAATATTCCACGTCATTATTAATTATTGCTCAAATTTTAAACATTCAAATTTTCAATCCATTAATTAAAATTCATTGAATGATTTAACTGATAATGAACGTATTACTAATTGAACAATAAAATTCTTTCTTCGTCAATTTTCATTAAATATGGAAATATATATTTCAACTCTTTGATATTTAATTAAATCAACTAGAAAAGAAGTATCTGAGACGATCTCATTCATAATTGAACTTATACATCAATCGTTAGTTTTCGCACTCTTTGCTAATTCATTTGCCAAATTAATCAGTCATTTTGTTTCTTAGTTTAATATTCAATTAATTAGTTATCAAATTCATTTATCAATTATTATTGTTATTATTAATTATCACTAGCATAAGTCAATCACTTCACAAATTGAACATTGTAAGTCTCAATTTCCATGGGCATTGGATTAATATTTTGCAATCCATCTTTTAAATGTTTTTTAACAATAGTTCCTGTAAGTGACATTTTCGTAACATTCACTTTACCTAATTTATAAAAATATGTTCCTAAATTAGGTCGTTCACTTAATGGACAATGTTTGAGTGTAATTTCCGCACCAACTGAACAGCTATATCCTTGTCTGTGAAGAACCATAAGAGCACTACTTACAGGGAAATGAGGAAGTTTTTGATCATGATTAGTTCTCAAATTTAATAGATGTAAATCACATGGAAAACTTTGACTAAGTAATTTCACTTCTGGAGTTATTTTCACATCACTTTCTGTTTTATCAACGACAAAAATATTAATAGGATAATTCAAAGCATTGCTCAAGTGATTAGCAAATAATGAAGGCTTTGAATATTCATCCTTTTCGTCAGTAATATCTTCTAATAAGAGCCAATGCTTTAAAATTGTTTTCCGATTATCCAAAAGACCCTCACCCATTCCTCTTGAATCGTCATATAAAGTTCTTCGATCGAGCATTACTTCAAGCCATCCTGGTTGATAACTAGCAGCTCCCTGAGCATGATTTACTAAGAGAGTTAATCGATGAGCATTATCTTCGATATAAGCCATGGTTGTAATTGGATAATAATTACCCTCAATTCCAATTCTCTCTATTTTGGTTCTCTTCAACATTTGATGACCATTTAGGTCAGTGTAAAATTCTGGAGGATCTCCATTAAGTATATCTGTTTGTATTCTCATGAACATTTCAGTTTCCCTATTTTTAGGTGGTGTTTCAAAATCAATCACGTTTCTAATGTAAATTGCCTCTGCTAAAGGTCCATCATGATGGAATATTGTGATGTGGTGAGTTAATAGCTTTCCATATTCCACAGTTAATCGTGAACTCAAACTACTAGAGACAATATAAATTTTCTGATGAGGTGTATAAGCATCGAGAATGTCTTTGTCAGTGTCTCTGAGGTTTGGGTCGGGCATAAAAAGGTATGCTCCGCTATGAAATTGTGCAGAGGCATAAGCAGCAAACTGTAAATTACATTGCATGACTTTTCCAGTTGACTTTTTGGTTACTCGCTTCAATAATCCCGTTTGTCCATCGATCAACAGCTTCATTCGATGATTCTCCAGCTGAATGTCACTTGATGGCATTGATTTTATCGGAAAGACGTTGTCCTTTCCACACCTGTTGCAATAAACGGTTGAAATCGCTTCTGTTGGAACTTTGTCCACCTGTTCCACATGATAAGTTGCAATCGCTAAGGGCTTGAGGTTTGCCACAAAGAGTAAAACATACACGTCATGAGTTATACTTGTGGCATTCATCACTGGTGCTATTTGATAAGGTACTGGATTTTTTTGAGGATCTAAAACCCGGACTTTGTGAGAATTAACTTTCAAACTGATGACTTCTTGTCGTGGTTGTGCAAGAGGATTGAAGAGTATTACTTTCCGAGATTCACGGCTATTCACCGTGATTGGAATCTTCTTTGGAAGTTTCTCAAAACTGTCTCTATCAGATTCAGGTAATACATAGATGGAATTTGTTTTCGCTGAAGACTCCGTCAGTGACTGGATAGCAAAACTCTGCAGACTACTCATATCTGATATTGACTCGAATAATTTTAATGCATAATCTTTCATCACAAAAGATTTTGAAGTACCAGTGATTGCATCATGATGTTGAAAGAGACCAAGATTTCGTCGTGCTTTTACTAACTTTTCAAAATAAGTTTCATAAAGTTTAATATCATTTCCACTTTGTCGAGCAACATTTAGAGCGATTGTGTAAAGAATTTCAGCAGACCGCAAATTCGCCTCAAGTTCACGATCTAAAATTTTCATGTATGGCCGAGTTGTGAAATATCCACTCCAATATGCTGGCCTACCTTCACTGAAGATGTCAGAGTATACAAAAAAGTCACCCTTCAATGTTGGAAATTTTGTCATCCTTTTTTCAATCTCTCGGAAATAGTCTTTTGGAGTTCCAAATACTATTTCAGCATTATATTCATCCTTACGGCTATTTATATAGTCGACGAGAATCTTGTAATTGGTGTATTGTTGATCCCACTCGACAGGATGGTCGTACCTGAAGTCATCACCGAGTGGCATGAGTACGACATTGTGAGTGAATAGAGAGCCAGTTCGTGAATATTGTTCAAGTAGCAATTCAGCCATCTGTTTGACATTGTTAGGCGTAATGTCGACTGCACGAACAGAGTACTCAGTATATTCACCTCGAATCTTCCGGAAGTCAAAGTTCAAGCAGACATGGGGATGTGGACCACAAGAGTGCTTGATGTTGTAGATATCAAATGGTTGATTATGTGTCAGCATGTCGTGTGCTCCAATTTGATCCCACGGTTGTAGCCAGATAAAATCTCCGTATTGTTTCTTGGCAAACCACTGCTTCCAAGCGTAGTGAATCCTTTGAATTATTGTTCCAGATAGACCGGAGGCTTTTAGAAGATATGCTATCGTACTGCCATGCCCAAAGGGATCTACTGACCATCCGGACTCCGGAGTAACTCCCAAGTTTGATTTTAACCACTGATGACCTGTAAGAAAAATATACACTTAATTAACTTAATTGCAATCATTTAAACTGATTGTTGGAAAATTGATACTCAAGATTTGTGATTAAATTTTCATTATTTGAATATAAAAATATCTTATTCATTCCTAAAACAAATTTGCACATAAATGAAAGAATTGTTAGGTTGTATTCCTGTTCATCATCAAAAACATTGACATAGAAAGCTATTTAAATTGGATAAATAGACTTGATAATTTCAATCACTGGATAAACATCTTTTGATAAAAACAATATTGCCGTTACAATTCATTATTTTATTGGCATGCACGCTTAGTAAAAAAAAAAACAATATTTTTTAACTTCATAGATAAAAACCGGATTGAGATTAAAACTGATATATGATGAAAAAACCTATAAATCATTGGATTACGCATTCATCTAGCTGAAGTAGTATTTCACAATTTCCAATAAAAAATTGATTAATTTTTTCCTTCTTTATATTTCTAATATTTCATGTGCTTTATGTTTTAATGGATCATCGATAAGCCTTTCCTTTCTTCTTTCCTTTTTTTTAGATCATACCACTTGTTTCTCTCTTTAGTTATTGAAAGTATTCATATATCTATACACTTATAAAATGTTGTGCCCGATCCTTTTGATACATTCGCATCTCTGGGATTATCGAGAACGGTTTGTGCCGGCTGTCAATCGATAACCAATTATCACGGATCGAGAGACGTGTTCCATTATCCGAGGTTCAACGACAGCCTGGGTTTCATTCGTTCCTACTCTGCTCTCTGTTTCTCATCAATGAACACTACCCAACCAACCGTCGCAGCTTATCGGAAAAATCGAGTTTTTTCAGGAAATTGTCCGGAAATCATAATCAACATTTTTTCTATTTTTTATTCATATATTTTTTTTATTATTTCACCAAGAGAATTCACTATTTTACTACAAATATTTGTACGATAACAGTCGTGACTCGATTCATTTCAACAAACCAAGAAGTTTTCAAATAACTATTTCTCGACTATAGAACTTCAATAATAGGAATGATTTTTCATTTATGTTTTAATCTAGGATTTACATATAAATTTAGATATAAAATTTATTTTATTTATTAACATCAAATTATTTGTATCTTGATAATTTTTTGCTTAAATTCCATATTCAATTGAATCTAAAAAATTTTTTTAAAAAAAATAATTGTTTCAATGTAAAAAAAACCTCATTGAAGATATTTTAAGGTTCCCGAGGAAAATAATTTTAGCTCCCTACTCCGAAGGTACTTTGAATGTTTTTTAGTTGCAGAAACAAATATGGATAATGAAATTGATGGAATAATGATATATTGGCGAAAAACTGTACGATATGAAAATGAGCATAACTTCTATACTAATTATGCTATGGGGTTGATCGAGGGCTCATATGAATGATCTAGACGACAGAAAAACAGTCGATATGAATGAAATTATAAGTAGTGCAAAATTTATGCTAAAATTCGAGGGAGTTCCCGTTTTACCCCATTTTAGGGGTGAAGAAATTAATTTTTTATATTTTTGACCTGATTCCGCATTTCTACTCATTGAGACGAAGAGAATGAGTGGTCAAACTTGCAAATCGGACAACTTTGATTTTTCGACCCGAAAAAATGGCAAGTGGTACCCCTTTCCATTTTTTTTGGCCAAAAAATAAAAGTACTCCGATTTTCAAGTTTGACCACTCATTCTCTTCGTCTTGATGCGTAGAAATGCGGAATCGGGGCACCGCCCAAGAAAATCCACGTTAACACCCTTAAACAGGGGTCAAAGTCGAAGTAAGAGTAAAAAATCATGCACTCTTCGACTTTGAACCACTATAACTCTTAAACAAGTCATCGAATAATGATTTTTTAGAGGTCATTTAAAAGTTCAAAATCTTAGCTAAAGATGCATATCCATAAAAAACGTTTAAAAAATTTATTTCATCCTCAAAATTGCCAAAGAAGTAGGTAAACCCCCATAAAAATCTGATTTTTTTTCATATTTTAGTGATTTTAAGGGTGATGGAAATTTTTTACAATAAATTTACGGATTTTGTCAGATAGCTCAGATTTTTAGGTTTCCAAAACGTCCTTAAAAACAGTTATTTGACCGTCCGTTCATGAGTTATAAGGGTTTAAAGTCAAGGAGATGATGATTCGTAATTTGTATCCAGTTTTACCCCTGTTTAAGGGTGTTAACGTGGATTTTCTTGGGCGGTGCCCCGATTCCGCATTTCTACGCATCAAGACGAAGAGAATGAGTGGTCAAACTTGAAAATCGGAGTACTTTTATTTTTTGGCCAAAAAAAATGGAAAGGGGTACCACTTGCCATTTTTTCGGGGTGAAAAATCAAAGTTGTCCGATTTGCAAGTTGGACCACTCATCCTCTTCGTCTCAATGAGTAGAAATGCGGAATCAGGTCAAAAATATAAAAAATTAATTTCTTCACCCCTAAAATGGGGTAAAACGGGAACTCTCTCGAATTTTAGCATAAATTTTGCACTATTTATCATTTTATTCATATCGACTGTTTTCCTGTCGTCTAGATCATTCATATGAGCCCTCGATCAACCCCATAGCATAATTAGTATAGAAGTTATGCTCATTTTCATATCGTACAGTTTTTCGCCAATATATCATTATTCCATCAATTTCATTATCCATATTTGTTTCTGCAACTAAAAAACATTCAAAGTACCTTCGGAGTAGGGAGCTAAAATCTTTTTATACGGGTTCATAAATAAATTAAATATTCCAATTCATCTATCAAAAATTAATAATATTAAATCTAGAAGTTCAATTATAATCTGAAAGAGATATAATGTGATCCATAAAAAAATTTCTCCTTAGTTCTGCATGATTTATCTTTATTTGAAAAATCTTTTTTTATTACAAGAAACTTTACAAACTCTTCATTCCTTAGCATATTTCTTACGTAAGCTAAAATATAAAATGCATAAGGATCAATATGTGTACTGAAAGAAAATAACTTCCTTTCAGAATTTTTTAGCAAAATGTAATTTCGAATGTAAATTCAACATGAATTTATTATTATCAAATGTATGTCAGCTCTATGATGATCACCATTCATAATATGTTTCCAATGAACATGAATTTATGATGGATTAATATTTACTTCATAAAGATGATAAAGATTGAATGGAGTCCATCTTTATTTTGATTTATCAAGTTATAAATAAATAAATAAATAAATAAATAAAATCCAGTATCGTATGATACATAATAACAGATTTCGTATATTTGGTGTTTAGATGTTTTTGAAAACTCTAAGAAGACAGTAATCTCTTAATCTACTTCAATGTTCATCGCCTTCAAAGTTTTGCAACTGTTACCTAGATGTACGCTTCGGGATAGTTTAATCCATTGGCCTCTGAATTAAAGACGTTCTAGGTCGATGCAACCTCACGGTGGTTTCGCGTGTCAGTAAGATCGTATGATCGTAACTAAGATTAAACTAAAATTCCATGAGGATCAACTGCGAATCGATATGTGTAATCCATCTGACAAAACTTGCTCATTTAATTGACTTAAATCCCTTTAAATATATATTTCATTCATTTTGAAATTTATTTTTTAGATTTCTTTGATTTTTAATTATTTTATAATCCTACTGTACAGTGTACATTAATTAAGGTCAACGTTCCCATTTTCGTTCATGCCTTTATTTTCGTTTAATAAATATTTATTCTTTAATAATAATATTATCTTTCGTCTACATACTTTTTATTCAATAATTCCATTAAATAACTGGAAAATTTGAGAACTATTTCTATTTTTCAAATATTTATATAAAAAAAAATTAAACTTTTTATCTAAAAATGAAGTTTACTCAGCTGCAATTAGATCATGAGTAAAAAATTGGAATATTAACCTTAATAAAAATTTTAAAATTAGTTTAAATATATTATGAATTTTAATTTAATATGATAAAAAATTTTAAAATTATACTTAAATGAATTACGAACTTGAGTGAAGTATGAAAAAAAAAATGCTCATTTTTTTGTTTAATTTATTTTAAAATTGTTGATTTATGAAATTAGTTAATTTAGGTCTATTTAGATGGATTTGAAGATTCATCTTCCATTTTAGAAATTATCTTTTTTCAAGAATTCTTTTTTTTTACATCAAACTCGAACAACACTTACACTTGCACTTTGAGCCACTCTTGCACTCACTTTACTAAATAAAGTTTACTTAAAATATTTATTTCTCTTTTACACTATTTTTTTTTATCTGCTTTTATTTTCTCTCCATCATTTACTATCTCACAGTTTCCCCACCAACATCTTGAATATGAAGTGTCTGATACAAGATAAACAATTGTTACCTATTAATATTAAATAAATAAAAAATTCATGTATTTACTATCAAGTTTCAACCCCAATTTTTAATAAAAAATCAAGTTGATCAATAAAAAGTGTTCTACATTTATTTCATCAATAATAAAACACTTTATACCAGTTGCTAGAATGCTGCTTGATTAAAACACCAGCATCAAAGATTCATTTATTTTTGGCATATTTATTAAATGGCAAAGCTGCTAGAGATAGAATGCTAGATGAAATTTTATTAACAATTGATAAATGAGATATAATTATCTTAATACTTGCAAGTACTTTGATATCTTGACCTCAATGGAATTTAGGTTTCAATACGTGGTTAGGGTCAACATGGCGTAATCGCTTGCTATTTATCAATGGTTCTCTTCTGGAATTCACCAAGTTAATCCAGATCTCTCGTGCCACAAAGTTGCCGATGCTCTATACGGGTACTCACAAGTACTTGTGTACATCGATCCCTTCTTTAGGAATTTCAATAGACTATCACTTTGGATCAAGCATTTGAGCATCTATTTCAGATTTGTAGTAATTACTAAAAGCCTTCCAAACCATTGGGATTCTTAATTTATCAACTATTTGGATGTAATATTGTCAACCTAATATACAAGATGAAATTCCTTCCTCAGTCTATGATG